ACTTATACGTAGCGTAGCGTAGATAGAGTGTAGAGCGACTCGCACCAAAGCGAGCGCTGTGGCGCGACGCCATCGTGCCCCACGGGGACTTCCTATCTTTTCCTCTCGTCGGGAAAAGCGGCAGGTAGGCCGTAGGCCGTGCCGCTCCCAGACGAGGCCTGTGCCTTAACTTGGAGTTTGTATCGCTCTCAAAATCTGAGAAAAATGAATTATAGCCAATGAAAACAGCCCAAGATAGGTGCAAAGGGGTTAGGTCGTCGTAGGAGCGGTCAATTAATGGGCTCTATTTGACTTCATTGTCGCCGTCGAAAAAGTAGGATAACAGCTGTGGAGATATACTAGGCCTATGCACATCTTCAATGAGATATGTGTCTCACGTATTTATTTTTCAAAGGGCGGCTCGTCCAAGTACGTAGTACCAGGTACAGTACTCCGTAGTAGTGTACTAGTACTAGTAGTACACTACGTATTGTGCTTTTCACAACTTTTGGCCATTTACATAGACCAAACTTCTATTATACTAGTACTCGAAGTACGTAGTACTTCGAGTAGTAGTAGGTATTTAGGTATTTGGAGATGTGCTGGGCCGGACGTTACAGGTCGAGTTCGAGATAACGTGTACTGCACCGGTACTTAGTCGTAAAATGTAGCTGCCTCCCGCTGTGTCAACAGTGTATCCGCTCCAAGGATATGTAGGTCACGCAGAAATCCACGGCATGTATTGAGAGAAAGTCGGCGGCCTTGTTGGATTCGCGTGGTCTGTGGGAGAAGGCACAGTGGAGGGAGACAGTGAGCGTTCGGGCTTATAGATAGGAGGCTCGTAGTCCGGGGTGCCGGACGCGGTGGAGGCCGCTCATTTCTTCAGGAGGTTACTGTCGCCGCAGACGCGAACGTGGGTGAAGTGCAAGGAGGTTGTTAATCGATGGGCCCGGATGAGGCCGTCGTCGGATGAAAAGAGATTACCAGTAATCTCTTTTACGACCTGATAGTACCTGCATCCAGATTCCAGAGTCAAATGAAATATGAAGAGGCGTGACAAACACCACTAGCGGCAATCGCACGATGGTTTATAACAATCATTGTCCTCACTTGAGTATTTACCACGTCCAAGTAACCCCACCAGCATGGTATCTCTCACGAAAGCGTTGGCTGTCCTTGGCCTCATAACCGTTGGTCAAGCTCAGATCCCGGCCTTCTTTGAAGACGTCAAGCAACTCGAAAGCATTTGCAACACGGACGAGTCCCAAAATAACGTGTGCTACAAGGACTCGGAGCCTGCCAAGGTGTCCAAGTCGAAGGCCGTAGCGCGTTTGAGATTAAACTACATTGGGTCGTGGTGCACGGGATGGCTCTTCGGGTCCGAAGGTCACCTGATGACCAACTACCATTGCATCAACTCGGCCGACGCCGCGGCATTCACTCGCGTTGAGTTTGACGCCGTGACTCCTGGATGCCAAGATTGGTCAAGTAGGGGCAGCCACCTCGGCAAGATAGCAGCCGAAAACGTGACAGTGATTTTCAGTGACAGGGCTTTGGATTTTGCCTTGGTCAAGGTCAATCTTATTGACGAGTTCAATTTGACGCCGTACGGATACCTCCAAGCGTCGGACCAAGCTGTGAAAGTAAACGACACGGCCTACCTCATAGGCCATCCCGACGGAAGGCCTCGCCGCATCGCAATGGTCAAGGATGGCACTTCGACTGGTCGTATCACCACCACCAACTACACCGAGGCGAAGCCATCGCTCTGCTTGAATGTTGACCGGTTGGGCCACAACTTGGACACAGAAAAGGGATCGTCGGGCACGCCACTGTTGAGCGCCACCACCAACCTCGTCATTGGGCTGCACAACTGCGGGGAATGCAAGGTTGCCACCACCGCGTACGGGGCGAACTACGCTATCAAGATGACTTACATTATCAACCTTCTTCGTGAAAACAACGTCCTCCCCAAGGATGCTGTCAAATCCACCGGAACACTTACTCCTACTACTACTATTACATCCACGCCCCCAACTACCACCCCTTCGCCAGCCACCACCACTCCCACGACCACTCCCACCACTACCCTTCCACCTACCACCATTCCCACAGCCCCATCTACCGCACCAGTCCCATCCAAGTGCTCCCCCATCGAAGACAACGCTGATTACGCTGGCTTCGATGTGGCGTCGACGTCGCGTGTCAACGCAGCCGACTGCTGTGCTGATTGTGATGGTATCCCCGGATGCAAATTGTTTGTGTGGTCGTACTTCAACGGTGGCACGTGCTGGTTGAAGTCTCAAGTGGGCATCAAGGTCACGAGCGTCGGTGTCAAGTCGGCCGTCTTGACTAGCCCCGTGACCACGTCAGCTCCTCCCCCGACCCCGTCCCCCAGCCTCTGCTTGCCGGCCGAGGCCAACTACGATTTCCCCAGCAACGACATCTCGTATGTATCGAGTCGGCAGTTCAAAGACTGCTGCGCCGTGTGCACGAATACCCCTGGCTGCAACTTTTATGTGTGGACTGACTATAACAGCGGCACGTGCTGGCTCAAGTCTAAACAAGGCAGCGACAAGGTGCTGTCGTTTGGGTCCCGTGCTGCGTTCGCCCCTGGTGGGGGTGTCGACTCCACTTGCTCGCCCGTCGAGGTCAACACGGACTACACAGGCGAAGATATTGCCGGCGTCGCGGGCCCCCTCGATACGTGCTGCGATGCATGCAAAGCCAACGAGAAGTGCAATGCGTACAGCTGGTTCAACGGCGTGTGCTACCTCAAGGGCAAGCGCCACGGAGCGTCCCCCAATTCGCATGTGCAGTCGGCGCGCGTGTACAAGTGTGCCGCACCACAAGTCAACACGGATTACGTCGGCAACGACATTGGCAGCGTGGTGGCTGAAGCTGCCGAAGACTGCTGCGCCGTGTGCCGCAGCACGGCCAAGTGCAAGGCGTATTCGTACGCGCAAGAGGTTTGCTACTTAAAGAGTGCCAAGGGTGCCACCAAATCGAATGGTGGCGTCACGTCGGCCACCGTCGCGTAGTGGAAGTAACGATAACGTACAAAATCTATTTACGACACATCTGAAGGAGCCAGCTCGGGTTCAGTCGTTCGTCGCCATATCATAATTCAAGTACTACGTAGTAGCATGTTGTTACCCCCTTGCCCCATACTAGAGGATAGTCAAGTTTGACTTGTTTATGATTCAAGTTTACTTAACGTTAAGTCGTCCATGGACTGGAGCGTTGGCACGGTGATGCTATCCCCCACATAAATCCGACATTGTGCCACCTCCTCGCTCGCCTTGAATGCTGCTTATTGGCCAAGTGGATTTCCCCTCGATGCCAGCTGCTTGAGGGGAGCGCCCCGGCTCGTGCTAGTGGCTTGGTTGACATTGACCATCGTGCAGCGACCGCAGGGCCCGACGCTGCGAAACGCGTGGGGGTCGATGGAGAACTCGCTCCATTCATCTTCGTCGTGGGGGGCGCAGTTGATACGGAACCCATCTTCGGAGCTTGTGTCAGTGACTAACCCTGAAAAATGTTCAAAACAAATCTGAATACCGTTCAATCTAATAAACTCTAGTTAGATTAGGCATATTTTTTGTACTCTGACCACCTCAACGCATACTAGGGGATTTAGTTAGCATTATACACTTCGTCCTACCGTAGGACGAAGTCCCGGGGTTACAGGGTTACGGGAAGAAAATTTACTTGAACGGTTTTCAGTCTTGGCTGAACGGTATCCAGATTTATTGAACGTTTTCCCACAGTTTCCTTGTGTCAGTGCCGCCAAACTTGGAGTGGAGCAGCCTCACTCTGGCTCGCGACAACACCAGTCGAATTTCAATCCTCCGACAGATACATCTTCAAGATAATTAAGTCAGCCTAAATTGACTTGTTAATGGAATTCGCAAGGTGAGCCACCTTTCTCCTTGTTAATATCCAATCCGAATCCATCACACCTTGCTTCTTACACACGATTGGCTATAATACTGGCAGAAGAGGTTACAATTTTGAAGTGTTTGAATTTTGTAGAGCTCTGTGTGATGCTGCTCAAGAGAATTGTGCACTGATGAGTTCACTCCGACTATATCCAATGTGGTTCTTCCCTTACAGCTAACATTATGGTTCTCCCCTTACAGCTAACATTATGTTGTGGCCTCGGTTGGGTCGCAATGCAGTGACGGCTCTGGTGGGCCAATGCGGTGGCGCAAGACGTCTTGGTACAGTAGGAACCCATCGCAAGTGCTGAAGTGGCGGCTTCAGCACATGCGATGGGTGCCACCAAGACGTCTTGCGCCACCCGCCCGCGCAACCACGTGACTACTCCAGTAAGGAGGTGTACGGCACCGACACGGACTGATGGTGGAATGAGGGATGTCCACATTCATTGGTTTAACAGGCAAGTGGTAATGCTACTGAAGTCTAGACCTGTTCGAATTGACCGAGTCCGGGATACCACATCGCATGATCTTGCTCTCATACGCAGCCTACATAATTATCTCAATGCTCCTTGCATCAACCGCCATCACAGAAGTAGAATATATCGCAACAGGGTGTGATGAATCTACACAGCGATTTTCGTGATTTCACGACATCTGATTGGACAAATTGGACAATTTTGAATTCGCAAGGTGACCTGTCTTGCGAATTCCAAAAAGAGACAGGCACATGAAAAATAAAAATCATCAATACAAACTTGAAGATATATTTAATTGAATCTGTACAATTTCAGAATTATTTATGGAATTCGCAAGGTGGTTCACCTTGCGCAGCATACAAAATTGCCTATTTCACCTTGCTTTTTCTGGTTAATGAGTAATGAATACGAAATAGACGTCAGAAAATTTTGTGAAAAGTTGGTAGTTTATAGGTGACGAGCATCATACCGGAATAAAAAAGTGAACTAGAAAGCGAAGAAACTATCCAATCAAAGCAGAGATCTGCACTTTTTGGTATGCCAATCAGCTTCTAAATCAGAGCTAATCTATAAAAATGCCACCAATAGGAAGACCGGTAAGACAGCTATTTCGGACCAGATTAGTACCCGGCTTTGACGATCGTGAAAAATTTCTGCCATTGTTGGACGATCCAGGGAAATAAATATCCATTGTGCAATTCGCTCCCGAAAATAGCAGATATCTGATTGGCCATTATCCACTTCGCCCTTTCCAGTAGAAACTCGAAAATGGATTGTAGCCAATCAGCGACAATTAATTTCGGATTGACCAATGGGAGAGATTGGTGCTCGCTTCGCTCGGCGAGACGGGGTCCGGAAATTCATACCGAATCTCCAATAAAACTTCGATTTGCACTTTTCAAATGTGGAAAAGTGAGTGAGTTGCATAAACGACCTCCCTATAATTACATTCTGTAACGTTCCGTGACATCCTTACAGTTTACCACGGCACGGATTACTCCGTATCTAAAACACTGGGGTAGTATTAATAACAAACACCCAGTTTTATGGTGTGAAGAATAAATCTCATTAAAAGAGTTCCACTGTTGTTTTGACCCGAAATACTGTTTCACTGTCAATGAGGGAATTATTTCATCGGATATACGTTTTCGCCAGTAGCCCTGTAACCTGGGGCTCCGTCTTACCCCCGGTGAGTACATACGACGATACTACATCTCCGGGGTTAACTGCATCGCTTGAGATGCACTTAACCCTAGTACGATGTGAGGTGGTCTGAGCATACAAAATTCCTTATGATCCTTATTGACTGTGAAACAGTATTTCGGGTCAAAATAACAGTGGAACTGTTTTTATGAAGGAATGTACTGGTGTGAATAGCCAAAACGAGTGAAACGCACAATACTCCGTACTGTACTATTTCGAAGTACTAAAAGTAACGTAGAGTTCCAATTTACTGTTAACAGTGGTCGACAGCTGTGAGGGGGCCTTTGGGAATAATTATCGCTGCATAAATGCTAGCGATAAACAGTTAATATGAACATTGTATCTAACAGGCCAAGCTACAAAGTGAGCATTTAAACACATCTTCAATGTTAAGTACGTAGTAATAAAGGTCCATATCTAATAAACGCGGTTTTCATTCTGTGCATAAAAATATGTGAAAATCTGAGAAAAATCCTTGCATAATCGATACTACGTAGTACATATTATCAGAAGCCCCCTCACAGCTGTCGACTACTGTAAGCGAGATATTTTGGATTCTCTGCCGGGAAATGGAAGCAGCTCGGCACTGAGGAATGGGTTTCGACTTCTGAAAACTGATAATTCAATAGGAAACACAGGTCTTTCCAGGAAGCACTGAAACATCGATTTTCATAGTATCTATCTTGTCCTATTGTCCCATTTTCCAAGCAAAACACCTCAAAAGTAAGGGACAATTAAGGGACATATTTTAAGCTTGATCGTACTTCAGTAGTATTCATCCATGCATACATTTTTTGTGGTTAGGGTATAATATTATGTCAGGTACATATTCAACCACAACGGGTTATGTATTTATAGAGCCAATGGGTCAATTCATGTATGGGATCAAGGAGAGTATTGACTTAAAAAGGTATTGCTTCACAACTGAAATCGGTATGTCCCTTAAATTGTCCCATGTCTCTTAAATTGGAACGTTATTAGTAACAGAGCCCGTTCTCAGATTATCGGAACTCAGGGAGTAACAACGATACAGCTGCAATTTATCCTTGACGGCAGTAAAAGATCAATTTTTAGCTATGGCAATGTGAAGACATAGACCAAACTATTCGGAGTTGTGCTGGGCCGGACGTTACACTTAGTGTTAGCTTGGGTTGGATGCATACATTTAAGAGGTCGAGTTCGAGATAACGTTACAGTACTGGTAGTCGTAAAATGCCGCGGTGTCAAAGGTGAATCCGCTGCCAAGGATCTGTAAGTCATGCAGAAATCCACGGCATGTATTGAGAGAAAGTCGGCGGCCTGGTTGGATTCGCGTGGTCTGTGGGAGAAGGCAATAGGAGGGCGACAGTGAGCGTTCGGGCTTGCAGATAGGAGACTCGTAGTGCCGTACGCGGTGGAGCCCTTTCATTTCTTGCATGAGGAGGCTACTGTCGCCGCAGATGCGGACGTGGGTGAAGTTCGAGGGGTTAACGTGGGTGAAGTGCAAGGAGGTTGTTAGTCGCAGGGCCCGGATGAGGCCGTCGTGGGATGAAAAGAAGTTACTGTACGACCTGATAGTACCTGCACCCAGATTCCAGAGTCAACTGAAGAGGCGTGACAAACACCACTAGCGGCAATCGTAGGATAATTTACAGCAATAACTGTCCTCACTTCAGTATTTACCACGTCCAAGTAACCCCACCAGCATGGTATCTCTAACAAAAGCGTTGGCCATCCTTGGACTCATAACCGTTGGTCAAGCTCAGATCCCGGCCTTCTTTGAAGACGTCGAGCAACTCGAAAGCATTTGCAACACGGACGAGTCCCAAAATAACGTGTGCTACAAGGACTCGGAGCCTGCCAAGGTGTCCAAGTCGAAGGCCGTAGCGCGTTTGAGATTAAACTACATTGGGTCGTGGTGCACGGGATGGCTCTTCGGGTCCGAAGGCCACCTGATGACCAACTACCATTGCATCAACTCGGCCGACGCCGCGGCATTCACTCGCGTTGAGTTTGACGCCGTGACTCCGGGATGCCAAGATTCGTCAAGTAGGGGCAGCCACCCCGGCAAGATCGCAGCCGAAAATGTGACGGTGATTTTCAGCGACAGAGCTTTGGATTTTGCCTTGGTCAAGGTCAATCTCATCGACGAGTTCGACTTGACGCCGTACGGATACCTCCAAGCGTCGGATCAAACTGTGAAAGTGAACGACACGGCCTACGTGATGGGCCATCCCAATGGAAGACCTCGCCGCATCGCGATGGTCAAGGATGGCGCTCCCACTGGTCGTATCACCACCACTAACTACACCGAGGCGAAGCCATCGCTCTGCTTGAATGTTGACCGGTTGGGCCACAACTTGGACACAGAAAAGGGATCGTCGGGCACGCCACTGTTGAGCGCCACCACCAACCTCGTCATTGGGCTGCACAACTGTGGGGGATGCATGGCTGCCACCACCGCGTACGGGGCGAACTACGCTATCAAGATGACTTACATTATCAACCTCCTTCGTGAAAACAACGTCCTCCCCAAGGACGCTGTCAAATCCACCGGAACACTTACTCCTACTACTACTATTACATCCACGCCCCCAACTACCACCCCTTCGCCAGCCACCACCACTCCCACCACCACTCCCACCACTACCCTTCCACCTACCACCATTCCCACAGCCCCATCTACCACACCAGTTCAATCCAAGTGCTCCCCCATCGAAGACAACACGGATTACGCTGGCTTCGATGTGGCGTCGACGTCGCGCGCCAACGCAGCCGACTGTTGTGTCGACTGCGATAGTATCCCCGGATGCAAATTGTTTGTCTGGTCGCCCTTCAACGGTGGCACGTGCTGGTTGAAGTCTCAAGTGGGCACCAAGGTCACGAGTGTCGGCGTCAAGTCGGCCGTCTTGACCAGCCCCGTGACCACGTCAGCTCCTCCCCCGACCCCGCCCCCCAGTCTCTGCTTGCCAGCCAAGGCCAACTACGATTTCCCCGGCAACGACATCTCGTATGTATCGAGTCGGCAGTTCAAAGACTGCTGTGCCGTGTGCACGAATACCCCTGGCTGCAACTTTTATGTGTGGACTGACTATAACAGCGGCACGTGCTGGCTCAAGTCTAAACAAGGCAGCGACAAGGTGCTGTCGTTTGGGTCCCGTGCTGCGTTCGCCCCTGGTGGGGGTGTCGACTCCACTTGCTCGCCCGTCGAGGTCAACACAGACTACGCTGGTGTAGACATTGTCGGCGTCGCGGGCCCCCTCGATACGTGCTGCGACGCATGCAAAGCCAACTACAAGTGCAATGCGTACAGCTGGTTCAACGGCGTGTGCTACCTCAAGGGCAAGCGCCACGGAGCGTCCCCCAATTCGCATGTGCAGTCGGCGCGCGTGTACAAGTGTGCCGCACCACAAGTCAACACGGATTACGTCGGCAACGACATTGGCAGCGTGGTGGCTGAAGCTGCCGAAGACTGCTGCGCCGTGTGCCGCAGCACGGCCAAGTGCAAGGCGTATTCGTACGCGCAAGGGGTTTGCTACTTAAAGAGTGCCAAGGGGGTCACCAAATCGAATGGTGGCGTCACGTCGGCCACCGTCGCGTAGTGGAATCGGTATAACGTTACCGCCGTTACGGATTACTACCCGGTTCTGTACTAGTAAAAATAGCCGACATATTCGATGTGTGCAGTACCATATTGTAACTTGGATCAGTTCGTTCAAATAAACTACAGTACCATCATCGTTACTGTACAAGTGACACATGCAAAATGCACTTGCAAATTGTTTCAGTCCACTGAGTGGGCAACTTGTCAATCAGTGTGCAGCGCTTCGAAGTACCATTTTACCAATTCACAGGACACATTTTGGCAAATGGCGACAGAACATGGAGTTGTGGAATTAGTACATAGAACACGGTCACTTCTCTATAGCATCGTGCCTACTACGCGACGGTGGCCGACGTGACGCCACCATTCGATTTGGTGACCCCCTTGGCACTCTTCAAGTAGCAAACCCCTTGCGCGTACGAATACGCCTTGCACTTGGCCGTGCTGCGGCACACGGCGCAGCAGTCTTCGGCAGCTTCAGCCACCACGCTGCCAATGTCGTTGCCGACGTAATCCGTGTTGACTTGTGGTGCCGCACACTTGTACACGCGTGCCGACTGCACATGCGAATTGGGGGACGCTCCGTGGCGCTTGCCCTTGAGGTAGCACACGCCGTTGAACCAGCTGTACGCATTGCACTTGTAGTTGGCTTTGCATGCGTCGCAGCACGTATCGAGGGGGCCCGCGACGCCGACAATGTCTACACCAGCGTAGTCTGTGTTGACCTCGACGGGCGAGCAAGTGGAGTCGACACCCCCACCAGGGGCGAACGCAGCACGGGACCCAAACGACAGCACCTTGTCGCTGCCTTGTTTAGACTTGAGCCAGCACGTGCCGCTGTTGTAGTCGGTCCACACGTAAAAGTTGCAGCCATAGGTGCTTGTGCACTCGGCACAGCAGTCTTTGAACTGCCGACTCGATACATACGAGATGTCGTTGCCGGGGAAATCGTAGTTGGCCTTGGCTGGCAAGCAGAGACTGGGGGGCGGGGTCGGGGGAGGAGCTGACGTGGTCACGGGGCTGGTCAAGACGGCCGACTTGACGCCGACACTCGTGACCTTGGTGCCCACTTGAGACTTCAACCAGCACGTGCCACCGTTGAAGGGCGACCAGACAAACAATTTGCATCCGGGGATACTATCGCAGTCGACACAACAGTCGGCTGCGTTGGCGCGCGACGTCGACGCCACATCGAAGCCAGCGTAATCCGTGTTGTCTTCGATGGGGGAGCACTTGGATGGGACTGGTGCAACGGTAGATTGAACAGTGGTGGTAGATGGCGTGGTGGTAGGTGTAGCGGTGGTAGGGGTAGCGGTGGTACTGGGGGCCGTGGTAGTAGGGGCCGTGGTAGTAGGGGTCGTGGTAGTAGGGGTCGTGGTACTAGGGGCCGTGGTAGTAGGGGTCGTGGTAGTAGTAGGGGCCGTTGTAGTAGGGGCAGTGGTGGTAGGCGTGGTCGTAGGAGAAACGGTTGTGCTGGATTTGACAGCGTCCTTGGGGAGGACATTCTTTTCACGAAGGAGGTTGACAATGTACGTTATCTTGATCGCATAGTTGGAGCCGTACGCCCTTGTAGAGGCCTTGCACCCCCCGCAGTTGTGCAGCCCAATGACGAGGTTGCTCGTGGCGCTCATCAGTGGCGAACCAGACGACCCGCCTTCCGTGTCCAAGTTGTGGCCCAAGCGGTCCACGTTGTAACAGTCGGTCTGCACCCGCTCGGTGTAATTGGTGGTTGTAATGCGACCCGCTGTGGTGCCGTCCTTGACCATCGCAATGCGACGAGGCTTTCCGTATGGATGCCCCATCACGTAGGCTGTATCGTTGACGTTCACAGATGCCTCAGACGCCTGGAGGTACCCGTACGGCGACAGGTCGAACCCGTCGACGAGGTTGAGCTTGACCAGGGCGAAGTCCAACTTGACGTCGTTCAAAATCAACGACACGTTCGTTGTCGCATACACACCAGGGTTGCTGCCCAAGGAAACCGAATCCTGGCATCCAGGAGTCACGGAGGCAAACTCGACGCGGGTGTTGGCGGCGGCGGCGTCGTTGTTGATGCAGTGGTTGTTGGTGATCAGGTGGCCTTCGGATCCAAACAGCCAGCCCGTGCACCACGACTCGGAGATCTTCAGCCGGGCCACGGCCGACGACTTGGACACCTTGGCAGGTTCAGAGTCCTTGTAGCACACGACGTTTTGAGACTCGTCCGTGTTGCAAATGCTTTCAGCTTGCGCGTTGTCGTCAAAGAAGGACGGGATCTGGGCTTGGGCAAGGACGGCAAGGCCAAAGACGGCCAACGCTTTCGTGAGAGATACCATGCTCGATGTCGAGAACGGTGGTTACTTAGATGAAGTGAATTCTTAAGTGGGGATGATGAGCAACATGTCCGTGGAAACTGCGGACAGTAATGATTGCCATTCGCAATGCTTTCGTCACGCCTTTTCATTCGAAGGAGGTCCTAATTTGTCCTAGATTGCCTCACCTTTTGATAGGCATTGCTTGGTAAAATTACCCGAATGCGTTCTGATTTAGGATATCACGTATCCTAAGGTAATTCGAATGGCATAGGAGGGTTACACACTGCGGACTATATCCTGCCTCTGTCCAGATTCAAATAATTCCCTCATTAAAACAGTTCCACAGTTGTTTTGACCCGAAATACTGTTTCAATGACGGAATTATTACATCCGGATACACCTTTTCGCCAGTAGCCCTGTAACCTGGGACTCCGTCCTACCCCCGGTGAGTACATACGATACTATATCTCCGGCGTTAACTGCATCGCAAGTGGTTAGCTATCGCTAACCACTGAGATGCACTTAACCCCTAGTAAGAAGTGAGGTGGTCCTAGCATACAAAGTTTCATATAAACACTCATATTGCAGCATTTTCTGAGAAAAACAACAGTGGAACTGTTTTTATGAGGGAAATGTAGTCCAGATTCTAAGAACCACGTCAAAAGGTACAACTGGTGTTACCTCAAAATCATAGACCAATCAAAAACGAACAAAACAAAATCAAATTGACCAATCAAATACTGTAGCACATCGCCATACACATCTGTCACCTTCAGTACTCAATTATCAAATTGCACATCGTCCTTCACCTTCAGCACTCACTGTCCATCAGGAAAGAGTAATCGCCACTGCAACCAGCAGAGACGACTCGATTATTCCGTCAGATCGTACAATTTCCTCATTAAAACAGTTCCACTGTTGTTTTTCTCAGAAAATACTGCAATATGAGTGTTTATATGGAACTTTGTATGCTAGGACCACCTCACCTCTTACTAGGGGTTAAGTGCATCTCAGTGGTTAGCTATCGCTAACCACTTGGCTAACCACTTGCGATACAGTTAACGCCGGAGTTTTAGCATCGTATGTACTCTCCGGGGGTACTGTAGGACGCAGACCCAGGTCACAGGGCTACTGGCGAAAAGGTGTTTCCGGATGTAATAATTCCGTCATTGAAACAGTATTTCGGGTCAAAACAACTGTGGAACTGTTTTTCATGTTAATGAGGGAATTATTCTAAATCTCGCATATATCAAATCGTGAATTATTCTAAATCTCGCATATATCAAATCGTGATACCAGACCCCTCCCTAGTATCAAATGAGGATCCATTAATTAACTTGTGACGTGCACTTTTAAATCTCAAAGCGTGGCTTGCACTGACTTTGAAGTGGATTTTGAAGTCCATTTTTGACCTTTTCAGTTTTTAAGAGAGGTCCAAAATAGTCCATTCAATACCGCAAGATTTCGTAGTTTTTTTTAGTATTTTTGATGAAGCTTTAGTCAAAGTACACACATGTACGGATATGGACCAAGCACATCCGGCTTTTATTGTAAAAAAAGGCCGTTTTAATAGTAGTAATTCTGACGGCGCATGGATCAATTATGTTGCCAGAGAAACTTCACATTCTGCAGCTGGTTCATGTCGGCTGTAAAGCCGCAGCCCAAGCATCATCGACAGATTATGGCCCGTATTACTACCGGTAGTACTGTACAACGACGACAAGCAAAAACCTATTCCTATTGATCACCAGTGTCGATTGTAAAGTGCAAGCCAAACGCCCTCGAGTATTTCTGTGCCCCCCCCCACTTTCATCGTACGAGTACTACACTGTAGTATATAGCACGCAGGGCTTCACATTGCACCCCATGACTATAACCAATGCATATGCCCTCTACCTATGTACAACCTCTGTTCGTGAATACTATACTACCGGTAGTAATCGAGCATGTTTTTATTTCTATTTCAATTCGAAGTTACGGATATAGAATTGAAACTCTTGCACTATCCGGAGGGTTTGTTGCTATTCCACCATGTGTGACGATGACCCCCCACTTTAACTGCGATATGCCCAAGTCCACTCTAGTTGTAAGCTTACTGTGAAAAAGTATTTTTTGCTTATACTTGTCGAACTTAGCCGGGTAAAATGTCCACCGCGTTCAGACTAAAGAGTCCGGATAGTGCCAAAATAGCAACCGTAAAAATGAAGTTTGAATTTACAGTTAACCTATGCTTTATCAATTGTTTAGAATTTTGGAGAAGTCAAGAGTGCACGATTGGTACTACTACTGTACAAGGAACAAGAAATAAAAATAATTACATACAAATTGCAAGATATATTTTATCCCAGGAGTTGAACCAAGTCCATCACCTCGTCGCCATCCTCATGTTCGATATCAAGGTGCTCAAGTTGTTCAATACTCCATAGGTGAGCGAGTTGTCTAGAGATACGCGTGTGAGTAGGTGTTGCAGCACTACACGCCGATCCTCGTTCAACAGGTTTGGTTTGGCGGGCATTTTGGCACTGATGGATATTCTCTTGCATACCCGGGAAACGTAACCAGATGTTCGGATATGTCAATTTTGATTGAAATTGACTTGTTAATGGAATTCGCAAGGTGGCTCACCTTGCTCCTTTTAAATATCCAATCAGAGTCCATCACACCTTGCTTCTTACAAACGATTGGCTATAACCGTGGCAGAGAGGTAACAATTATGTCGCCGAGTCATTTCCCGCAGCCTCCTGGTCAAACTCATATGGGTGATTGTAATAGATCTATTTTCGTGTGTTGCTGTCATGATTGGTTGAATTCTGGTGCGAAAGCAATTAATTCATTGGGTTTCGCCTTCTTCTACTAACTACTACAGTGCCCATCTCAATATATCTTGGTAAAAAAAGATTCACTTTTGTTTGTTCTAAATGCTGAATCATGCACTTACACTGTTAATCTCGAACAGAGGTAGTACATAACGTTAGTAGTTTGGTGGACAGAACCAAACAAAGACACGGCGACGTTGCCAACGTCAACATACGACCGAAAACAGGCTCAAATCCGTCGAGTTACATGCGACCGACGCGGCTCACGACATCCTTTCGGTCCCAGTCCCAAGCAAACCGGGACGCCGGGGTCGCGTAGTCCTCCTCGACCACGTGCGTCGGCGCGTCTTCGCCAAACATGGTCACGCCAATGTATGGACACTCGTCAAACGTGTACGCGCGGTCCGCTTGGAGTCGGGCGACGAGTTCCGCGGCCCAGTGGACGGGGATGCCCAGAATCTTGAGCACGCTGGTACTTGTGTTGGCCATGTCGTGGAGAAGTTGCATGGGTTCGTACAGCCAGGGGGTGGGGGACCTAGGGAATCGTGAAGTCGCTTCGGCGGTCAGGTACGCGACGGCGTCGGCAGTGGGCAGGGCGGAGAGTGAGATTGGGGCCGCCAAGAACGTCGGCCATGCGGGGTGCGGCGTCCGGAGAAGGAACTTGAACACGGCGTCGCCCTCCAACTTGTGCAGGCGATACACGAGCTTGAAGCACTCTTGGGTGGCCTCCGTGAGCTGTTCGGCGTGTTTTTTCGACGGATTCAGAAGAAAGAACTGATGCCACATTGTAAACGCATGCCGCTCAAAGAAATGCGACAGCGACGCGCTCCACGCCCGCCGACGAATCGTGTCCGCTGGGAGAAAAGAGTGAAAGTACTGGCTCCACTTGAGCCATGGTTTGGCCTGGATCGCAGTGTCGTACGCGGCTTGCAGGGCGTCGGGTGTCGGCAACGATGGTGAAACTTGTTTGGGCGGCTTGGGGGACGGGGTTTCGTCCACGTTGAGCAGTCGCAGCCGGTTGTCCTGTTCCCGTCGAATGTAGTTGCTAAACTTGGCCGCGTTGCGCTCACTTGGTCGCCGTCGGCCTTCGTCGACTGCCGGTGGCGTCTCGTCCGTCGTTGCCGGCGGCGCATCAGCCTCGTCGTCTTCGTCGTCCAGGAACTCTAGAGGAGCGTCTGGTTTTTGGTCGATTCCCTCGATGTTTAGGACACGCAACCGGTCGTCTTGGTCCCGACGAAGGAAATTGCTAAGCGTTGCCGCCTCGCGCGCAGGTCGCCGGCGCCCGCTTTCCGGCACGGTCGGAGCGTCCTTCTTCGAGTCGTCGGTCAGTGCGGTGGGGTGGGCGGAAGGCTTCCTCTTGTGATCCCTTGGGGCTTTTTTCGATGATTGAGTGGTGGTCGTCCGTGGGGTCGAGCTCGAAATGGGTGGATGAGGCGCATCTACCGTGGTTTTGGCTTTCTTGGACGGAGGTGGCGGAGAGGGGGTGGCTGGTACAATCGATTCGCCAGCAGTGATGCTAGTTCCTCGCTTCGGTTGTCTCTTTGGTTGAGCTGGACTCGGGGGTGGCAGCTTGGCATTGGTACCTTTTTTGCCACCAGCAGCTTGCAACGTTGGCGGCTTTTGTGGTGACACAGTGGCCTTGTTGGGAAATAGCAGGTCAATCGACGACGCATTCAATGGCATGGAAAAGATGGTCACATTTTCGGCTGCGGCCACAAAGATGTCGTACGGGGCTAGCTGTTTGTCGACAAACGCCGCCGCAAGCGTGCGCAGGCCGCCAACATTCTTTACCTGGAATGTTGCGGCAATCCACGAAATGAAGCCATCGATATCCCTAGAGGCATCAAGTTCTCCATCGTGAGGTGTTGTGGCGACCGCGGGGTTGCGGTTGCTTCCACTCTCATCTGCAAGAGCGCGTTGCGTTCGACAGGCTTGGGTGCGCCATTCGGCGGCGGCCTTGTCGGCAGCGGAGAGCGATTTTACAGCACGTAGACGCAACGTTTCCAACTTTTCGATCTCATCCTCCACAGCTCGTGTCTCCTTGCCATTCATGTTGCCGCCAACCGTTCGTTCCTGCTGCGGGATTTCGAAGTTGCTCGATGCTCACAACTGGGGAGGCGATTTATCCGGACAAATTCGGATAACCAAGTTCCCCATCAATCTATAGGTATACAGTATTTACTCACAGTCAGGAGGCAGGCTCGTGAACTCGTCCTCAGAATTGGTGAACAAGTGATGGCATTGCTTAACGTTACCTCATTGAAGCACCTGACGCGGACGTTAGCTTGAACGTATGTTACGATGCAGTCGAACACTTGGACGGTGCTTAATCGAGGATCACTCCAGCCACGGTGATGTCGACCTTTAATACTACTACTAGTACACTAACGTTTGTGTGCGTACAACTATTAATACAGTATTAGTATTATTTTAATAATACTAATACTAGATATAATAACTATTATAATAGTTATTATATACTAGTATACTGTATTAATAGTACGTACGTTCTGTAGACCAGTCCACTGTACCTCCAGGGTATTACTACGTAAATATAAATACTACTAAATACGTAGTACATAGTACTCCGAGTAGTATTACAGTAATATTAATAGTATAAAATAGTACCTAGTACTATACTACTGACTACGGTACTACTGTACAGTACTAGTAGTACTACTAGCGCATAGCGTTAACACTCGCATTTTGCAAATTCAACAAATACTTCGAAGTACGTTGCTTTGACATGAAATTTCAGTATTTTGGCAGCAAATATTTGAGCTTTTGCGACTGGGATAGCATTTTGCCGCGATGTCGTCAACGTTGGAACAAATCCGCGTGCATTTCGGCCACACCGACCTGTACAAGATCCTCCACGTGAAGCAGTCGGCCACGGAGAGCGAGCTCAAGACGGCGTACCGGAAGCAGGCTCTAAAGCACGTAAGTACATGCGCGGCGTATACCTTGAACGACCGCCCTAACTATGTGATCTGCACACGCAGCATCCTGACAAGAACCTCGACAACGCCGACGCGACGGAGAAGTTCCAGTTGCTTTGCACCATCCACGCCGTCTTGAGCAACGCAGACTCCCGAGCCCTGTACAACGAAACGGGCGAAATTGACGCTGACACGTCCGCAGATACCAAATCGTTCAATGACTGGTAACCCCCCAGCCATCTTTATAGAGTCACTCACGTGCATAATGTCATGTGGCGCGACAGGGTGGAATATTGGCGCGCTCTATTTCCTCCATTGACAGAAAACGACATCACGAGCTTCGAAGCCACCTACCGCGGGTCGGACGACGAAGCCAAAGATCTGTTGCAAGGTAATATCACACAATGTACGCGTATTCCGACGCTGTTCGTCGCGTAGCGTATGAAAAGTACAAGGGCAAGTGGCAAAACATCCTCGATGTGGTCATCCTCGCGCGGGACGAGGACGTGGATCGCTTCGCCGACATCATCCAAGCCGCCATCGACGACGGATCCGTACGATCTGTCCATACGTGATGATGATCACATCACTTGAGAGAGAGGTCCGCTAGGTGCCGCTATTTCCCGCGTTCAAGAAGAAACCCACCGTCGTGGTGAAGAAGCGCTCCCAGAAGAAGATGGATGCCGAGGCCAAGGCGGCCGACGACCTCATGGCTCAGATTCGGGGGCGGAATGGCCCGTCGGCGGCCATGGCCAAACGGTACGAATGGCAAAGTGACATGTCACGATGACATATCATTTAGAAGTGCGAATTTGGACTCGCTCGTGGCCAAACTGGAAGGCAAGTACGACGACAAGCCGACGAAAAAGCAGAAAGCGTCCAAAAGCAGCGAACCCAGCGAAGCCGACTTCCTCGCCGCTCAGCGCAGACTGCAAGCGAAACTGCGCAAGTAAACATGCCGTGGAGACGGACGGTCGGGCGTCGATATATGTACTTTTAGACGTATATGTAGACTTATACATTACACATCTCAATGGGTATACTACCAGGTAAGTACTAGTATGATTCAAGGCAATGCAACCAATTGGGGGATGCTGAAGGTGATAGGACGTTGGTGTATATTGAGTGCACCATGTGCAGTGTGTTAAATAGATGTAATCGTCATTCGCGCCGACCTGTCCACTTTGGCAGTCGAGGGATGACGTGGTGCGTTGGGTCGTCGTGCGGGGACCTATCCCACAGTCTACCGCGTGCCTTTCCATCCCATCAACGGATGCTGATGGTGATTTGATGACTGCGGTGGCAACGGCGGAGGCTGAGCAAACTCGCGACCGATTGGTGTCGTCGTCGTCGGCTTGGTGGTCGTAGCGGGAGCATGGTCCGTTGAGTTGTTGTTGCTGTTCACCAGCGCCAAGCCCATGGCCGTCGAAATGAGGACGGGCGGCACGACCTTCAAGACGAGCGATTCTAGAGCCATCGATCGTAAGGGGGTATTCAAAGTCGCGAAGTGCCAGTTTGGGTTTCATGTTGAAGCCCTGCCACCAAAACAAAAATGGAACCCTTCAAGAACGCATTTCATTGGCTGATGAAACAAGTAATTTGTTTTGATTGGCTGAAACGGATTGGGCAACGGCCACCAGAACGTGCGCAACTGAACTGTGGGAGCCAATGGCATCATCGCAACGTCGCGTGACCCGTTCGTTGGTTAGAACGTGGCTACTTCGCAGAAATGTGACCAATGAAATCGCATCATAGAATTTAGATTCTGTCACGCGAAACGAGTCTGTGAAAGGATCTCACTACAGCTGTATTTCTGGACTACCATAGGCAGACATACATTCGATATTTCAACAGAATGATGGGCGCTAACTTTGTTCGCGGCGCCACTCGGAGATGTCGCGCTTAGACTCTTCTGACGGACCCACGTGCTCGTGATAATAGCCGTGGCGGAGGCGACACTTGTCACGGCCGCAGTCATACCCTTGTTCCACAATGTCCTTGCTGTTGTCTTCCCCTAGTATCACACAACATCAGCCTTTCGCTCGCTGCTTGTCCATCGGTTGTATACCCGCGGCGGCAGCGGCGGCTTCGCGCGTCGTGGCCTCAAACGTTTCCCGAAGTACGTTGCACTTGTGCAGCCACGGTAGCACTTCGCATTCCCTATATGCCAAATCACTTTTGAACCCCTCAACTTGGCAACATACCATTTCGCATCGTCTAACGCAGTGACAGATACATGTGCAAGGTACTGGCTGTGGGTATTCAATGCCACAAACACGACTGTGTTGTTGTGTTGGGTGATGCGCCGGTGACACAATGCTTGGAGCTTGTCTGAACATGCACTGGACACGCCATACACACAAGTTCCTAGGTATCGCTCGGCGCAGGCCACCAGCGCCGCATTCAACACCATCGTCGACTCGTGGTCGGTGGCGCGCCACGCAATGACAGTCGGTCGATTCTGCTTGTGCTTCGCCAAGGCGTCCCATTGCATTCCTGTGACACGAGTGTGGAAAGCGGCGAATTCTTTGTCGCCCCATACGATTCCAAGTCCTTGTGCTTGCAGCTTGACCTTGGCCTCAAGAGCCACTCGCCGTTGCGTGGCTGCTTCGTTGTCGTCGAGCAGGTAGTCGAACTCGTCCAGGTCATCGTCATCGTCGTCATCACCCTTGCTCGGATCGAAAGATGTCATGGAAATGGCTGGTGTCGGTGGAAACAGAGACGATGTGGACGAAATGGACGAAGCAGTTGCTTGTTGTCGATGGGCTAGCCGATGCTCAGCCACATCGTGCGCCTGGAGGATTGTTTGAATGCGGACATATTCAGCCTGCTCTTTCATGTCCTTGATGCAGCATGAAGACAGCGTTGGGTCGTCGCCCTGGATGTCGTAGTCTGCCAAGCCGCCTCCACCTTGATGCGAACCGCAACAACCCTCACCATGGTTGTGGGACGCCATCCCGAAATTCAAATAATCCGGATAACTGAGAAAATCGTACCTATAGTATACGGATATTTCAATGCGGTTTACTTTAAAACGTGACTAGGGTAATTTTAGGCCACAGTGGTCGGTATCCGGATCGTGAAACGGCAAGTGCCAAGTTCTATTTTGACAACCGCATCTTGATCTGCAAACTTCAGTGACGGACGAGACTTCCCTTCCTGCGGCTACATCATTCAGACATCCACATTCGTGCATCACTAGTACAACGCCATGGAGCTGAACATGCGCATCTCGGCGTACCTGCCGGCGATTGTCCGGCGGCGCCTTGAAACTCGCGATAGCGTTGAGGTCCCTGACACCCATAACGCCGAAGTCGTGAGCATGTTTGCCGACGTGTCGGGGTTCACGGCGCTTACAGAGTCCCTTGCTGCACGAGGACCGTCTGGGGCCGAAGGCCTTGGCAAGTACTTGAACTCGTACTTTGAGCAGCTGCTCAAGCTCATCTCGAGCGAAGGTACGAAGAACGACTACCATCTCGTGACGACACTGTATTTCACACATGTGGACAGGCGGGGACGTGTTCAAGTTTGCCGGCGACGCGATCATCGTGTTCTGGCTGATCAATCCGAAAGAAGACACCCCCGAGACCATCGTCCGTCGTTGCATTCAATGCGCATTGCGCATCCAGCAGCACCTCCACCAAGCGACCTTTGCGCGCGACGTGGTGCTGAGCATCAAAATGGGCATCGGGGTCGGCCGTGCAACGATCGCGCACCTCGGCGGCGTGTCCGACGGCGCGACTTCCCGCATGGAGTATGTGGGGGTGGGGCCCGCGCTCATCCAGGCCTTTGGGGCCGAGCATCATGCCTCACCAGGGGACGTGATCTGTTCGGCCGAGTGCTGGGCATTGGTGTCTTCGTCGTTTGCCGGCGTCCCCATCCTCGAGCACGGCCATGCCGCCACCGACGGATGCGTCCGGGTGACGGAGGTGCTGCATCCCGTGCGCTGCCAGAGCCGCCGCGCGTCGTTCACAAGGGACGACATCACCCTCCAGAAGCGCATGCAGCAGTACGTGTCCCGCGCCGTGTGGCCGTACTTGGATGACGCCGAGGAGTTTTGGGGCTCGGAATTAAGAGAGGTGACCGTGTTGTTTATCAATCTTGGCTTTGCCGACGCCGACTTGTCCAAAATGCTCGACGTCGCCAGTGTCCACAAGCTGCACGCAGCGTTTGCTGCCGTGCAAAAGTGTATATACGACTACGAAGGCACTATCAACAAGTTTCTTGTCGACGACAAGGGCAGGTACAATGATACCCCCTCATTCCCCCCTCATCCCCCTCGTTCCCCACAAGTGCTCATACCTTTCGATGGCTCGTAGCACCGCGATTGCCGTGTTTGGGATGCCCCCCGTGACCCACGAAAACGACCCGATCCGAGGGATTTTGGCGTCTCTGGCGATATGTGCGGCGTTGACGCCGTTGGGGCTCAAAGGTAACGTTGTCGCAGGAAGGAGTAAATAAAACCCATATTCAATAAACAACGCCCGTAGCGTCCGTGGGTATTACATCCGGCACGGCGTTCTGCGGGGTCGTGGGGCACCAGGGCAACCGACGCGAGTACACGGTGCTGGGGGACATTGTCAACTTGGCCGCGCGACTCATGCAGCGCGCCAAGTCGGAGCATGGTGGCGTGATCACGGACGAATCAACCAAGTTGAGCACGGAAGTATGACAACTACTAGTACTACTAGTAGCTGAAATCACGACACATGTGCCCTTGATGTGTAGGACGTGCTGCACTTTGAAGAACGGCCGCAGATCATGGTCAAGGGCAAACATGACAGCATCAAGATCCACCGGCCGTACCCGCGCATGTCAAACGTGATCAAACATCACTTGGAGAAGCCCACCAACACGCCCCGCACGATCAACGTCATGGAGAACATGCACAGCATGCAAGTCACCGCCGCCAAGCGCCGGCTCAGCGCCAAACTGGCGCGACTCGCCACGGACGCTTCGCCCTCCGACGACGACGATGGTCACCCTTCAAGCACCAGCGTTCCAGAGAACGCCGGTGCCCTCGACATCCAAGCGGCGCTCCGGGCTAAGCTCGAGCTTGTGAACCCGCTCCACTCCACCGGCGCGTTCCTACTCGAAGGCGACATTGGGGTCGGCAAGACGCGCCTCATTCGGTCCACGTTGCGATCGCCGAAAGAGGTAGGTGCTCCGGAACATCCCCAGCAACCGTCCCCCCGCGTCGTGTTTGCTACGGCGACGCCGTTCACCCCCGGCAAGGACTACGTTGTGTTTGCCGACGTGCTGGTCAAGCTGTGTCCGCCCTCGCAGGCGGTGGGCCCGACGATCGCCGCGTGGGTGGCGCAGGGAGTGGCGCCGCAGACGCACCTACTGGACCACCTGCACGTGCTCAACGACGTACTCGACGGCGTCGAGTTCGACAAACCACTGAGCAACCAAGACAGCGACTCGGCCGTTTCCGGCGCGGCGATGGCGGCATGGTTTGTCGATTTGCTTGCCACCGACTTGATGGAAAACCAGAGCGGTGACTCGTCTCGGGCGTCTGACGCGCGCGAGAGTCTGTGGTGCCCATCCGACTTAGACGTGGCCGGGATGCTCCTCCTCAGTGCGCTGTACGCTGTCACACGGGACCACCCGGTCGTGTTGTGTATCGACAACGCCATGTACATGGACGAAAAGTCGTGGATTCTCACCATCAGCGTGGCAAAGTACTTTTCCAACTGTCTCGTGGTCGTTGTGTCTCGGCCGCCAAGCGTGGCCGTCACGCAGCGCACGGCCAGCTGCGCGTTTCGGAAAAAGTTGCGGTAAACTCCCCATTCGTGTCGTTGTTGGTGTGTGTGTGATGACGTTCAAAATGATTATCTGGGTTTAAACATGCGATAGAGCGCTCAAGGAGCTGCCGTCGACGACGTCGTGCCATATGGGACGCATGACGCCCGTGCAGATTGAAATGCTGGCCACGCGCATCTTGAACATCCCGACGCTGCCGACCGAGCTGGCCAACCTGCTCGTGTCCCGCAGCCAAGGCAACCCGCTGTTTCTGCACGAGCTGATCAAAGTGATGAAGGACCAGGGGGTGCTGTGGGTGGACGAAAAGACCCAGCTGTGCGAGACCCGCGTGCAGGTGGCGTGGGCGGACAAGGCGAGCGCGGTCGCATGCTTTGGCTGCCAGGTCAAACTGCCCCCAAAGACCACCGACCGGAATCGATGCAAGGCGTGCGGCTATGTGTTTTGCGCTCCATGCACCCCCAAACAGTGCTTCAAGTACAAATTATCTCCATCATCTAAGGCCATATATAGTGGCCTCAACCACCGGCATCATCACCGTGATGGATAGGGTCCTGGCGGGACAAGGCGAACCCATGCGACATTGCAAGGGCTGCTTTGGCATGACCCGGGGACGTCGGCCGAGCTTTGAACGAAGCGCGAGCGACTCGAGATGTCTGGCGCCGCATCCGTCCAGCAGTAGCAGCAGCACCCTCTTGCACCATCATTGCCAAACAAGTGGCAATGCCGGCGCCGCAATTGCCGCGGCCGATGGGAAGAAACCGATGCATCGCAAAGCGTTATCCATGTTTGTACATCCGTCCGATCCGTCGACGCCACTCAAGCATCGCATGGCGCTTGTAGCCCCGCCAACCATCAAGAGCGTGTTGACGACGCTGCTCGATCAACTCACAGTGTCCCAGTACATGCTCATGAAGGTCAGCACTTGACATATGAACCAAGTGATGGCCTTTTGATGATGAATTCACTTTACAACATCCGTTGGCTGCTTGTTGCCAAGCCAAGTGTAATTCATATTAACCGATAACTGATTGCTACATTGGTGGTTTCTAAAATAGACCGCCAGCGTCATCGGGTCTTCGTTCGACTTGGACACCGTGCGCGCCGTGTACCCTATCAAAGGCCACTACGTCAAACCTGCCAAGCAACCACCTACCGACGGCGACCCCCCTAGCACCAACGTACCCGACAAGAACGTGTTGCCTGTCGATCGGTTTATGGTTGACATTCACGCCCTGGAACGGCTGTCCATGATTCAGCCCGTGGATGTGTTCATCGGAGGGCTCAAGGTGCCGTCGCAAACCACCAAGTTTGAGTTTTGCCACGGCTTTATGCAAGACGTAATCCGCAGCCAAATGCTGAGCGCCCAGTGCGACAAGCTCGCGACGCGACTGGCCGACTGCCGCGAGCAAAAAGCCAAAGCCATGCGCCAACAGTTCTTCGCCAAGGCCCAAGGCTCGCTCACCCCCCTCAGTGCCCCCCCTAGTTCCCTTCCCCAGACCAACACCCACACGCCGCCCGTACGCTGTCACTCGACGCCCCACGTCGCCCCCCCTCCCCCCTTTGGCCCGGCCCCCGCCCGGACGTCAGCCGGGGACCTCCACATCACTCGATCTCTGTCCACGGTGCTCAAACTCAAAGCTGGCATGGTACGTACATGCGTCCCCGTTATGTTTATTTGGTCGATGGCGTCGATTGCCAGAGGGGGTTTGGTTGGTTCGTTTTGACGCCAAGCTGCTAATGATGTTTGATTGATTGTGATGGCTACAAGGTGCATGTGAAAAAGCACGGCGGCGTCCTCAGCCACTTTCGCCTCGGCAGTGCAGCCATGTGGAAGCGGCGATGGGCGGTGCTGCACAACACCCGCCTGCTGCTTCAGTACGACAACCACCGCGGCGGCGGCCGGAGTACCAGCATGGAACTCAACCACGCCCGCGTGAGCACATGCGATATGACCCACGACCCCGCCGGCGTCAAGTACCACTGCCTGCAACTGGACGTACAAGAGTGGTGCCGCATGCAGCCACAGGCAACGCCCGAGTCGTTGAGTCCTCGAGTGTTTATCCTTGGCTTGGAATCCGCGCGCGAGCTCGACTATTGGATCTACATGCTCAAGTATGCGATCGAGTCCCTCAAGGAAGGGTAGTAGTAGTAGACGCAGTACGAGCAACGATGTACGAGCCTAAGATAAGAATTTTGCCAGAGTCCATGATGGTGGTGTCGGCGGAGTGGGCGAGCTGCCTGTGTGCGCGGCCCTATAGGAGTTGGATGGACGGAGGCATATCTGGAAATGAGGTCATGGAGGTGTTCGGGGTTATGAGAAGTCTCGTTCTCATTACACTTAAATGGGATCGGCCATGGGCGGCGAGCCATGTGGGTGGCAGCAAAGCATCAAACCAGCAAGGAAAGGATACGGATGATCTATTCGATGTTGGCTTCGCGGGCCTTGCGGAGACGAGCCAGGGTGGAGCGCACGGTGGCAGCCGAGGGGGTGTTCAACAAGTAAGCACCGCCGGCGGTGACCTTGTGGCAAGACTTGCACTTCCAGATGCCCGTGCTTTCGCGCTTGACGCTGTCCTTGCCGCAGAAGACGCAGTTGTACTTGGCATGCTGGGAGACTTCGATCTTCTTCACCACTTTACGCAGCGACGAACCATATCGCACACCGTATTTCCCGCAGATACCGACCTTTTTCGTGCGCTTTCCCATGTTGGTTTCCTTTTAAGTGTTTGGAAGTGAAAGCTCAAAGCTCCGTTCATTGGTGGTCGCAACGCCAAATCGCCAGAGCCAACCACTCGAGGTTAAATTTAGACTTGGAATTTGTATCCAATCATGAAATTTCCGGATAATCCCTCCAATTCACCGGATACAACTGGCAACTTTGACGCAAACGATGGACAACATTACAGGTGTGAACGGTGGGTGTGCTGCTTCGGTGCTGACATGTCCTCGTCACCTATGCACACATGGAAACTGGTGGAACTGGACAATGCGACCCGTGCAAGCTGCAGGTGCTAAGTGGACTGAACTTGGCTAGCTACACAGCGTTCTGAAGTCGGTGGTCGAATTTCACGACAACACAATGCCATCGAGTTGTTGCCCTTGCGAGAACTCTTTCACACATCGCCGGAATGCGAGTTTGCCCTGGTAGTTGGTGCATGTATAGACACGTGGTTTATTGGAAGGACAGAACTAACCCGCATGTCTTACTAACGGCACCAACGTAGCGAGACTCTACATTCTCTATGACCTCACTGCAATGTTGGCAATTCAATAGTACAGTACAGGTATGGACTTGGCTTGCGATTACTAGTGTACATGTCAAAGTGAAGTAAGTGTCCTTCTTCCCATGATATATATCAGCCTCAATCCAAGGCTGTTGCAAACATGCCAGCATTGGACAGGGTCGAGTGCAAAGAAGAATTTGAGTCTTTGCTAGGACTATTCATCGATCAACAGTCGCATAGTATATACACCCCATCGTTGCTACTAGTACCACTTTTGCAGCCACGTTCTCCTTTCACCAAGAACAACCATTGAGATGAGGTTGTGTCATGTGTTGGAGTATGCTTTACGTCTGATCTCGCACTCAACCAAGGCATTCACGTTGAACAAGGGGCCACACTTACTTAGCTTGAATAAATTAACACACGTCGGCAAAACACACTCGCACAAGATCGTGGATGGTGAATTGAAAGCCACCGAACGTCAGGCACGAGTTGACGATGTACTGCAGACACTGGAGGCGGGCCATCTGGGTCTTGGTGACGTGGACAAGGCGCGTGGACTTTGGGGGGGCCAGCCATCGCTTCCACAGCGACTTTGGAGGCGGCAAGGCTGGAGGCACCACTGCGAAGTCCATCAGGACCTCAGCAGTGTCTGCATCAACGTTAGTGCAACCGTCGAATTCATGGTCGACTTCCCACGGATGGGCAAGAAGGCGCTGCCAGCATGCCACGTCGTCCTCTGTGAGCGGTGACTGATCCAAGGTAGTCGTGGGCATGACCTCGTAGGCGTAGCCAACATGGGTGGCTGCGCGTGAGAGAAAGTCGTTAATGTGGAGGATGACCGATCGAGTCGGGTCTGGCTGGAGGCCGCCGACATTGTAAACGAGGTCGTCGAACGATTCCACGTCCGTGTATGTGGAAGGTTGGTGACCGACAATGGAGGACACGTGCTTCCAATGTACATGATTGTGCTGTGGCGTTGCCTCTACGTTGGATGGGCTGCGTTCGGATTGGTTCGACGGGAACGTAGCAGGCAGCGGCGGCGGCGGGGCTGCTTTGGAACGGAACGCTCGAGACAGCGAATGTGCACGTGGTCGAAGCAGCAGCTCTGGTGGCATCCGCACCATTCTGTCCACGGATGACGAACGGTGCCTATCGCTGCTGGAGGTGGAAGACGCCTGCATCACTGCTGCCATCGACAATCGATCGGCCTGTCAATGAATGATACAACTGCCGACAGGCTTCCCAAAGATGGGGATTGTCAGAGTGTTGGTTGTTTTAGAAACGTTTTAAAACCTGCAACCCCCACATGAAACGAGCTTTACATATGTACAGCAGTACTTCGAAGTACACTGTACCAGCGACATGGTGTCAGGTTGTCACCATTCGACCTTTCCTGCCGTTATAGTATGTGCTGGGGAATGCGACCAAGGCGACCACCTCCCCCTCCTGAGCTGTGAGGGTATCTCCATTGCAAACACCATTGGGAGACGTTGGAAGCCGCAGTAGAATGCCATGCGACCGTGTTTTATTCTTTACAGGACGTCTCGTACAACAGTCATAGTAGTCGGTTGCCCTGGTTGCCCATAATGATCACCTGTGTGCTTCAAGTAAGTAGGTCGGATGTGCTCGAAGAACCCCAAGCATGTGTCGATACTAATAAGGTGTTTGTCCTTCACACAAGGAAGTCGAAGTTGGGTTCAAAGCCACTTAAACGTCCATTACATGTTGAGGAAGTTTTGGATCATGATCTTGCCGTCAGGGGTCAAGATGCTTTCGGGGTGGAATTGCACGCCTTCGACCTTGAATGTTTTGTGTCGTACGCCCATGATCATGCTCTTGCCCGCCAACGTCGACGTCACTTCGAGCTCTGCCGGCAGGGTTTCTGGCAGACCGACCTACACACACGTAGCAGCATCACGTCCCCTTCCACCGATATGCATGCATTGAATGACCACGTACCAATGAATGGTATCGGATGGCCTTGAACGGCGACGGCACATTCGTAAACAACCCGCGGCCGTCGTTCTCCATCTCGGATTGCTTGCCGTGGATGATTTCCCCAGCGTGGCCGACAGTGCCGCCGTACACTTCAAACATACACTGCAGTCCTACGACAACCGTCATGGGATGATGGCATCGCCATGTGGTCGTTCGTACCCAAGCACACGCCAGCGATGGGAACGATGCCTTGGAACGTTCGGATGACGTCGCAAGAAATGCCCGCATCCTTGGGAAATCCCGGTCCTGGCGAGATCAAGATGCGATCAAACTCTTTCGTCGCCTTGTACTCGGCCAAGAGCTCCTTGGCGGTCTTGTGGTCGTTGCGAATCACGACCACAGATGCCCCCAACTCGCACAAGTACTGGTACAAGTTGTATGTGAACGAGTCGTAGTTGTCGATGAGAAGCACGCGCTTCTGGGAGTTCAACGCGTTGGCGTCGGCGGCAACAGGCAGGAGCACACCAGTCATGACGACGATGACCTTGGAGAGCCGAGATGGGAATTTCGATGACCCTGATGGCGTGTCGTGGGCAGAAATCGTGTCGGCCAATCACGGACGCGTAATAAATTGAACGAAATTTGGTGAAATTTACCCAAACAATTGTCGAAAAATGATTCGTCTTCGACGTATTTATTTTGATGCTTACAAAGTACTAGTATCTATTTTAGGCCGGTTTTCGAAGAAAAGTTGCCAAAATCGAAATATTCCATTTTTCTAGATTTTGTGCGTCTGGATGCCACCAAAGTTCAAAACTTTATGCCACAATTTTCTTGAGAATCGGGTGTTTTAAGGCATAAAAAAGATGGACCGATTTGGTCCAACTTTTTTGTGGAGGTTTGTGCTGTTCACAGGTGAGATTGGGTGAATTATAATGGGGGTTAATTAGGTGAAATATAATGGGGGCACGTTGGTGCACACTAGAGGGTTAATTAGGTGAAATATATCCGCTGTTGATGGAAGTATTTTGAAAAAAAGCTGAAATTAACTGTAAACGTATAAATCTTGCATTTCAAAACTAACAATCACGATAATCATCTGAAAAACAATTATTAATATTAATAGGATAACGGTTTGTGGCCTGCATTTACATCATGATGTCTATCATGGCTTATGGACGTGGCGGGGGTGTGGCTGACGTGTGGGGCTGGCGTCGGTGGTGACATGCGAAACCTGTGTATATCTTCCCTCTTGATCCGGTGCCTGTCCTGTAAATAGTACTAGTTCCCATCTCCCTAACGTTAGGGGTCTGTTTCCTATTATAATATCTGTCCAAGGTCACAACAACGGCTTGTCCACTTAATACTATGTAGTAGTAGTACAAGGTATTTTTGTTGCTTTTTACTCTACACACGCATGCTGCCCAATATAGTATATATAGTATATGTGGTTTACTTGAGTGGCTTGCGGGCCATGAAGAAGTACGACGGCGTGAAAATGTTGGCGCGGCCAGCCTCGACGATGTCGTCGGCAGTCTTGTTGAGCATCAAACTGACCTTGACCGTTCCCTTGGGGGCAATCTTGAGCGTCTCCAGGATAGTGACGAGGGCGTGCGTACACTGGCGCCCAAACCAAGTCATCCGGAAGCCCTGGAGCGTCCACTTGCCTTCGAGCGTTTCGTACCATGGAATCTCATGCGGGTCGCGGTAGTTGTCTTGGAGGCTGTAGTGGGTCACCACTTCGAGGCCGGCGTCGGTCAACGCCTTGGCGATTTGCTCGGGGGTTTCCAGTGTCGGCAGCCCGTTGCCCACTTCAATGCCTTCCTTCAACGCAATGTGGTGCATGTTCTTGGGATCATAGTCGTTCAACATGGCCCAGTCCAGACCGACAAACGTGCCGCCCGGCTTAAGCACGCGCGCGGCCTCCGTAAAGCACGCCTTCTTGTCCGGGGCGTGGCACACCGACTCGATGGCGTAGATCGCGTCGAAGGTGCTGGCTTCGAACGGCATCTCCATGAAGTTGCCTTGCTGCACGTGGCAGCGCGAGTCGAGACCCGTCTGCTTGTTGTTGCGGTTCGCCACGCGCACCTGGTACTCGTTGATGGTCAACCCCTTGATCTTGGCGCCGGAAAAGCGCGCAATGTTGCGCATGGGGCCGCCGATGCCGCATCCCATGTCCAACGCATAGCTGTCCTTGGACAAGCCGAGCTTGGCCGCCAAGAAGTACTCGACGCGCTTGATCGATTCCGTGAACGTTTCGTCCTTGAACCGGTTGGCAAAATGGAACGATTGACCCCACCCGTACTCGTAAAAGTCGGTCACCAAGTCATAGAAACTGTCCACCATCAATTGGTACTCGTTTTGGCGGTGCTTGATGCTCTCGTCGGTGGAGATCGCGCCAGCTTCCTTGCGGGCGCCCGTGAAGAGCTTGTCGTATTGCTCGAAGCGCGAGTTCACGGCGTCGCGACCCAAGACCGAGTCCGGGTTGGACAACAAGCGAGTAGAACCTAGGAGGGTGGTGGCAAAATCCGACCCGTCGCGCTTGGTTTCCGAGTTGCCGACGGTCTTGGCGGTTTGGAACACGGCCGACGCAAATACGACGAGGGCGGCGGCGATGGCACCCTTGGTCGTGGTGGAGTTTTCGACTTGCAAGACAAACAACGACGACGCAAACAACGCGATGGCAGACGCAGCGACCGAGTAAAACACGGCCTTGGTTTCGGCACGGATCGCAGACACAGAGAACGCAACCAAGAGGAACGCGAGGGATGAAAAGAACGACAAGATCACCGTCACGTCATGAGGGGCCGACGCGCGTTGGTGCACGGCGGCGGTGTGGATCGAGGTCAACACGAACACTGTGGCGACGGCCCAGTTGAACACTTGGCCGATGGGCAGCGAGCTGCCGGGCACGAACATGCTAAGCGCCGCCTTCGAGTGCAAGAATAGCGCCATGCCGAACAGACCCGCGACAGAGCCGAGGGCAGGCACCACACCTTCCTTGTTTTGATCCAGGAACAGCTTCAGACCGTTCAACATCCTTCCTTTGTCGGCCAGAAAATTGGGGAATGACAGATTCGAAGGATGGGTCCTCCTCAACAAAAGCGTACATAACCACAAGTGTTGTTCGATATTTGTCGTACATTCCCCGTACATTAGGGCATAGTGAAATCCAGTCATTCTGAGCCAACGTACATAATACGTACATAACGTACTGTAATTTGAATCTATTGAAGCAAACGACGTGATTACTTTGCGATTACACTTGCCCAGGTGGAGATAAACTACGTTTAAACGTGTTGTTCATAGTTTTGGAGTAAAACCACGTTTAACGACAACGTGGGGTCTTTATAAGCATGCCTTAGAGTTGCCGTGGCAACCCTCCACAAGCATGGCAAATACACTCGAATAACGTTACTACTACGTAATACTCTTCACTACATGTGGATTGCTTACTGTACATACCCAACTCCACCTTGGACAATCCTCTCCTCTTGTACCGGAAGATTCCATTCCGAGGTTAAACGAAAAACGCGTTTTATTTTCACGTCCTACTACTATGAGAGATTTGCACATTGCAAAGCATCACTGCAGTAATGACACATGACCACTGGTGTCCTTAACGTATTTCTCGTGCTCTACCAGTTCCTGCGACTTCGTATACCTACTCTACATGGAGATCTTCCTTGATGTGAATCAAGTACGAGTACTGTACATGATGTGCGCAGGAAGGGGTCCGTACATATGTATGTTTATCCCAGGTTTCTGTGGTCACCAATAACGTTAATTGAAGTTCACCTCGCAGTCAAGCGTCGTCGATATGGGTGCAAAAACATACTAGTAATGCACATCCAACCACACCGATTCCATGAAAGATCACGCAACAACTCAAGCCATTCCAGGGCAACATGGACGACGACGACACGACTCGAGTGTGCTTGACGCTCGTTCGAATGTCGCTGAACGTAGTGAGTGTATCACCTCGACTACCGATAATGAAACTGTCAAGTAACGGTGTAACTGGAGCCCATAACGACAAAACGATGGCCGGGCTGACATGGCGGCGGCAGTAGAATCGAAGCGAAAAACCTTGTTTCGCAACAAAGCGGCAGCTACGAGTGCGTCTGCATGCTTGACAATGTGCTTGTTGATCATAGATCCGTCCGAAATTGCGTAGATGTGATATACGTCAGCGGCATCCCACTTAGCAAGGACATCATGGACGACCCGAGCAACAACGACGCCCCCGTGGAGGAGCACGAAGCGTTCTTAGATGCTAGAGAGGTCTTCACCACCCCGCCACGTCTTCGTCATCCATACCATCCTGTAGATGTTTCAAAAGTATGACCGCGACAAGTCTGGTGGCATCGACTTGGACGAGTTCAAGATCCTGCTCAAGGATCTCAACTTGGCCGTCCCCGATGGGAAAGCGGTCGTGTACTTTCGCAAATGTGACATCGCGCAAAAGGGTAAACTGCCCTTTGCCACCCCATTCCACCGAACTTCACCGTTCATGACCAGGCTTCATCACGTTTGACGAGTTCCGCGTCGCGCTGTTCACGTGCGACCCGTCGAATCCAGCGCGGACGGGCGGCTTTTGTCCGGGGAAGGCGCTGACCCCCAAGGATATTTTCACGCTGTTCGACGCCGACGACTCGGGGGAGATGGGCCGCGACGAGTTTGAGCGTACGGAACAAACGATGTCGCATACGCGCGTGTTCCACATGTGTTTTTCTTTTTGCGACAATGTACATATATATATACATGTAGGGGTATTGGCGTTCCTGTCAATCAAAATGGCGCTCGACAAGATGGAGGACCTCTTTTCCGTATACGAAAACGTAAAGCAATCTTTGCAAAATATGTACCCAAAGTGGTTTCTGAACGTCACGTCGTCGTAGCCCGACTCGGAAGCGCTCGATTACAAATCGTTTCGAACGATTTGGCTCACCGTACGTCCCAGTATATATTGTACTCGTGCTTAACATTTCCAAGCCTTATTGAGTGTGTGATTTGTATTGCTAAAGGCAGATATATACATTTACATATTATATTATATACATATATATTATATAATATATATAATATATATATAAACTATGTATATAATATAATATATATATATATATAATATATACCTACTTCGAAGTATATACATATGTATTATATTTACATATATATTATATATACATAACGTAATATCTATATGGGTAGTTGGTGGACGTGCGAAAGGAACTGACGCATCGCAACATTCCGTACAACAAACTATTGCCAAAGTCGGTGCTGGCCAAAAAGTTGGAAGCAATTCTGGACAAGGAAGACGCCCAAGAGCAGTATACGATAGACGAGGCCAAGTGGAACATTGAGTGGGAGCGCATCCGCCGCGAGAGGGAAGCCCTCGTGCACACCGCCAAGCGATTCGCCAACGTAACTGCACTGTGCTTTTCGTTCTATCCTGCCTTGGGAAATATGGGCTAAGGGGATGGTGGCAGTATGTCTTAGGCGACACATTGGACGCCGCCGGTCAAGTGTACGTGTTTGGGTGCGGTTCGTTCAATCGATTCGACGGCGCGGTACGACATATGATGTTGAAACACATACCATATGCATTTAAATCGGCCCAATATTTCGTTGTTGCGGATGCCCTAGCCCGCCACCAAAGACTTTGTCGAGTGTCCGCACTTTGAGAAATTGCTGGGACTGTGGACCACACGCTTGCGCGGGGCGGACGACTGGAGTCCCGTCGTTGCGCCGCAAGTTACTCACAAATCGGCCGGGTGGGAGTCTGCGGCCAAGAAGCACGAGCAACTCGTCCGTGCACAACAAGCGGCCGTCGCGGCCAAAACCCTCGACGTGATTGAAACCCAGCAACTGTCGTTTCAAAATCGACTGGTAAAATATCAAACCCCACACACATATATATATACATGTATCGATATATTCCAATCAATAACCCATGCTTCCCTACGGACTAAACCTAGTACAAGGTTTATAATATACTACGTAGTATATATATATATGAACGAGTTTTTCTATCCTGTGCAGGTAGCTGTCAACACGGCGTGGCTGTGGGGCCGCCGCATCAAACATGTGAGCTGCGGCACGTCCGTGGCGTACGCGCTGACAGACTCGGGCGAAGTGTACTGCTGGGGGGGGTCCCAGCGCCGATGGAATTATGTATACACGCCAAACGACGAAGTGTTACCGAGTAATAAAACACGTTTTACATACGATACGAATCCAACAGTTGAAGGATCAAACACTATTCGGACTGTAGTGACCAACCGGCCGTTCACAGCGCGGACGGAGCAGCTCAAGCTCGTCGCGCCATCGCAAGTTCGAAGCGATGCGCAGGCCATCGATCAAAGCTACGTCCGCAACATGTTTCGGAATAACGCGCCCCCGTCCCCCATCGTCGTATCGCCAGAGGTCCAACGTCAGGGGTAGATAACACAATATATATTTATATATATGTATAGATTGAATTTGCGAAATATCATAGTCGTGTAATGTTCTTGTAGGGCGGGGGCGATTGTCGAGTATTTCAACTTGGGCCAGACGATGCCACCGGACGTACGCGCCGGGCTAGCCTTGGACAAATTGCAAGAAATCATCGAGTTCGACTTGAGCGCCGACTTGGCCGCCAACGCAATGCGGGTACGTGGCGCCCTGTGGCGCTGCCACGTGTAAATAGAATTTTCATTAGCTCCGAGGGCTGGCCGTCCACACCGCCGGCAAACAAGTGATCGTCGACGACTTGTCCAAAGCGCTGCTGCTTGAAATTGAATGCATGGGGGGGCCCTTCCACGACCGCATGAAGCGTTTGGATGCAAAGTACCGCCAAGCGCTGCACACCAACAACGCCAAACTTGTGACCGAGTGAGAGGACGTTTCTGCCAAAGTTTGTGTGCAACTCACGTCAAGTGTGTATAGATTGCTCAAACGAGGGGCCACAACGTGGCGGGGCTTGCGCAAGCTGTACCACGCCCTGGACGAAGAAGTCGCGGCGGGGGTCCAAGCCAAGCAGGACAACTGGGACGCCAAGCGCGACGAGATCCGCCGGTTGCGGCTAAAGCAAGACCGCATTGGCCGCGAAAACGCCGAATCATCCGTAAACTAAAGAAGTGGGAACGACGTTGTCCATTATAACAAACCCCCCTCGTATAGGCAACTAAATCGGCCGCCCAAACCATCGACGTCAGTGGGTTGACCAGTCGGGGCCCGTCTCAAAAGCAATTTCAAGGCGGACACGCCTTGAACGAGATCTCTGTCGGCGCCAAGCACGCCCTGGCGATCCACGCTTCGGGGTAATATATATATATTTGCCAGGATCATGACAATATTATTTCTATGGGTGTCGTGACTGAAGAAAAGTGTACGGCTGGGGCTTTGGGTCGTTTGGACGCCTGGGCAACGGCACCCACGCCGACATGCCGATTCCACAACCCATGACGCAGCTGCAAAATATGCGCTTTCGCGCGGTGGCCGCGGGATACTCGCACAGCTTAGCCTTGCGCAGCGATGGCCAAGTACGACTAAATGTATGGGATATATCTGACGAATCATCTAGGTGTTTGCGTGGGGGTCGGCTGCGACGGGCAAGTTGGGGCTCGAGCCAGACAACCCCTCCATCCCCCTTCGACCTAACACCACCCCCGTCGGCCATCGGCAAGCTTCCAACCACCAGGTATCCGTCCAGAGCTCTTCAAATGCCGGCGCGCTAGACATTTCCGATTGCTTTACGATCATGCCATTGCCCCTTTCAATTCCTGCTTCGGTAAATAAACTGAATGTACTCGGTGCAATCGAGCCACGATACTTGACGTAATATATCATATGCTCAGGTGAAGAAAATTGCGTGCGGCCCGTCGCATTCAGCGGCCATCACGACTGACGGGGCGTTGTTTGTATGGGGAAGCGGCGATGGGGGGCGATTGGGGCTTGGGGATGGCCGCTTTGTTGGTACGTATATTTGGCCAGTTAGAGCTCAAACTGACTTGTTCACGGTCATTCATAGACACGGACAACGAGTTGAAAGGGGGACGACTGGGGGTTCTCACCACCCCCACACCCGTGACAAGCTTGAAAGAGCATTTCCTGGTCGACGTGAGCTGCGGAGTTTCGCACACAGCTGTTCTCAGCGCCGTGGAAACAGACACAGCCAACGGAGCCAAAGGCGGGGTGGTGTACGTGTGCGGGAGCGCGCACTCGTTGGGGAAATTCTGCCCCGCCTTTGTGGCCCTGCCACAACTCCAGGGCGTGCCAGTGTCCAACGTCAGGTGAGTCCTGTCTACTGGTAGTGTTATTAGAGGGGCTTGACGACATCTACAAATGTAGCTGCGGCAATGCCCACACTGCGGCCGTGAGTGTCGACGGCGAAGTGTACACATGGGGCAACAACACGGGCGGATGCACCGGTCACACGCTGGTCCAGCGGTTTGTCAAAGTGCCCACGAGGCTGCCTTGTATGTATCAAATGCCTCAAAACATGGCCCGCAACCCCCACTACAACGTCGTGGCGGTGCAAAGTAGTGTCAACTCTGGGTATTCGGTACGAATGTTAGTTGAGTGCTTTCACTTGAAATAGCCAGCACGTGACAACAGAATTGCTTGATCCTATGCAAGTAGGCTGCGATGGCGTTGGACGGTGTCACAGACGGCCAGTTTGAAAGCACTTGTGCCCAAACGTTTAACGAAATGTGTCCATTTTGGCAGGCGAGTGCAGGATTACACCTCATGACTGACGGTTAGCCACGTCACCCTCGTCGTCATAGGTGGACTTGGGGGTGAACTGTCGACTCGACACGATTCGCATCTGGAACCGCACGGGGAACGACGGGCTTCGCTTGTTTCCGCTAGTTGTCATGGTTAGCGAGTCGCCGTACGAAGCTGAGGGCGGTAAGTTCATGCTCCGGACATGCAAAGCCCAAAGTGTGTGGACAAAATTCAGCGCCGACTGCGCGGCCCAGAATCCGCTCGTGTGGCGCGTGCCTCAAAGCACATTGGGTACACACCACCACCACCCTCGATAGTTGTGCTCGCTTGTTCAAATACAGTATGGTCGCAGGTCGATACGTTCGGCTGCAATTGGACGCAACCAACCTGTTGAGTCTTGCGCAAGTGGAAGTGCTCGGAGTGGAAGATTATAAATGCATCGGGCCCAAGGGCGCATCTGTGGCCTGTGGCGACGACGTGACGATGGTCGTGTGCCGACCCAGCGTCTTGCAATCGTACGTACCAAAATCTATTTAAATATTGCATGTATTTTCTCACGTTAACTTCATCTTAGGGATATTGACACCAAGTTCCTACGTGCGCTCTGTGCCGACATCGACCACCTACACGTGTTAAATGAGTACCATACCTTTGCGCCGTGTATCCACAAGTTTACCGACCTGCGGCCGCACCTGACGTCGTGTCTGCTCTGTACTGCCCAACACACCTGCCCGATTTGTATTTTGTTCCAGCAGATTCCGGCCAGCGCTGTCCCCCCCGACATCCGAACTACCACGTCGTTGGACAAATTCAGCACGTTTTTGCTCTCCCATCGCCCCCCGCGGGCATTTGAAGGGTCGGCCGCGGCCGCGACGATGGTTCGTACGACCGAAGGCTATGTGTTGCACAATGTCGTCGTGGGACATGAATGATGTATGTGTAGACGGACGACGAGACTCGATTGCTTCAGATTGCCGTCGACGACGAAAAGCCCGAATCGGAGCTGACCAAAGCAGGGGACATGATATTTTCGACCGTGCACAAAGGTATGTAGTTAGGCAACGTATGCTATGTCAAGCCAGATTTGCTAGTACTAGTACCATTACTACTACTACTACAGTACTAGCGGTCACGTCGACAGCGCAAAAGGTGCAGCCGAACCCAACCATTCAACCGATCCACGCCGCCGCCGCCGACAACATCCAGAAATTCCAAGACCAAGCGCGGCCCATGTCGCAGTCGTTCCTTCGTAAAGCCATGGCCTCGTCCAAGGAAACGTGGCAAAAGTACACGTCTGGGAAACCCAAGGACAAGGCGACAGGGAACGAGGTCATTCGAGTGCAACCCAAGGAAGTACTGCCACCTGACGACACGGGCCAGTCCCCTCCACTCCCTCAGGATGCAAGCGCGAGAGGTGGCGGCGACGGGGCTCCGTAAACAGAAGTACCCACGCCGTCCAGATTGTTTACCAAACGCAGTGGTAATCACACCCACGTTAATTATGCTTGTGCAATTTGCCGTTTCGTCAGTTCGAGTCCCGGGCCGAATTGAAGGTGCAAATTCTCAAATTGTGGGACGAAATCGACTAAGTGTACTTCGCCAAGTTAGCAGAACAAGAATGGCACAACGCCGTGGTCAGTGTATTGACAAATAAGCCCGAGTCTAGAAACTGCGTCAATTGTTTTTGGTCAAATATAATCTTTTTTAAATTTATGTAAAAAAGACACAGATCATGTTCTGACTCAAATCCTTTCGTGGGATGCCGTTTCATGCCGTACCCAATGAGACTACGTATGTATTAATAGCTCAATGAACTACAAACCAAGTACATTTTCAGAAGTAAAAAAATCTGAAGTGCGTCTATAGTTTTTGGGCGGACTGTACGTACTTGAAGTATTTGTTATAGTGCCTTTGATTAACAGAAATATATTCAAAAATATAAAAAGTAAAATATTTTAAAATAAAAAATAATAAAAAAGAAAATTCTATATTTAACATTTGTTATAAAAAAAAAAATTTCCTTATTTACGAAAAAATATATTAAATATAACTAATAACAATTTTGATTAAAAAAGTAAAGTGTTTACTGTTATGAACTGTAAAATTATATTTTAATAAGCGTTTCTTACTTGGACTTTTGGGACTTGTCAAGTATGCAATGTTCATATATATTCCCAACGTATTAGTATCGAATTTGCTATACCGGTATATGTATTTGAGTCGGGGACCAAAATAGTGTTTTTTACTGTGGCCCTGTATAGTATGGTGATGTTGTGTCCTACACCAATTCCTACCCAAGTTACTGGATGTCAAAAAAGGCCAAAATCTTCGATATTTTGGCAATTTCGAACAAATCGGCAAAAACTGAAAAAATGTCTGTCTGGATCCAAAATTTGAAGAAATTCAATCATTTGCCAAATTTCACCGAAAAATCTAAGGGCTGGTCTCGATGATAGAAGTGATATTCCACCAGAAAACTTTCAGACAACTTTTCCCTGCCTCTCCAGGTTTCCAAAGTCACGTATAAAAACTGGCAAGAAAAGTACATCGTGAAAAGTCTGGATGCCTCCAAGTTTCCTGAAAACCCCAAGAATACCACAAATGTAGAGCCAGGACAAATGTCAGGAAAGAAATATGCCAAATCGGCGTCTATTATTTCTGCCAGAATTTGGGCAAATCACTCGTATATTCTGAAGGATTAATAGGCACACGTTTTTTCACGAAACCCAATTTTGTGTCAGCCACAAAAATGTCAGGAAAAACATATTGTCGATTTGATACAAATTTGGGGAGGGGGTGCAATCGAATCGCGCCGACCAAACCGATCCACAATCGATCTGATTGGTTAAATTTCATTGAGAAGGTTTTGGTTGGCTAATAATTTTGAGCTCAACTGAAGTAGCCAATTAAATCGATTTAAATTCCAACGAGAAACCACGCCACAACACGAAATTTCACTCGAAAGCACAATATTTTTGCAACTTTTCAGAAATATTATGACAATTTTTCAAACGACCTCTTTTGTGTATTTGGCAACCAAATCTGACATGTACAAAGTGGCATAATACGTCGAATGTTTACGGTTTTCTGTCTGTCCATTTTTTACCAACATGATATGTGTTCTATCGATAGTTCTCATCCAGAGGTCACATCAAAACATTTTGAAAATATTTTCTCACCTCCCATTTGAAACGAGAATTTACTGTCAAGATATTAACTGACATAACATTTTCTGTGGCATACAGACTAGCCCTAACTAGTTAAAAGTGGTCCAAGGGATTTTTATTTCTGAACGTTGGCATTTACTACGTACTAGTACTACGTAGTACTGAGAATCGTAGATTTCTTTCGACATCAGTTTGATCCATACAGTCAAAAATAGGTGACAACCAAAGTCTTCGAGTTACTCTGAACCAAATTTTCGAAATATTAATCGGGCAAAATTTGGGGTGTGAAGACAAACGCCCTAAAGAATTTTCCTTGTTATTGTGCTTTCGAGTGAAATTTCATTGTGTTGTGGTGTGGTTTCTCGTTGATCGATTTGATTGGCTACCTCAGATGAGCTCGAAATTATTATCAACCAATCAGATCGATTGTGGATCGGTTTGGTCGGCGCGATTCGATTGCACCCCCTCCCCAAATTTGTATCAAATCGACAATATCCGAGTGGTGATTTCTGTTTGCCCCCTGTGTGCAGCCGATTTCATATCAACGTTTCAAATCGAGTTACTAGGTATATACAATGTATAGTAGTCCATAATCAGCGTGACGGAACCCATGCAACATGAATGGCAACAATGGAACCAAGGCTACAAATCAAGGTTTCCAGATAAACTAACTATTCAACACCACGTGAAGGGTTTCGGGCAATATGCCATTCAAGTGCCCACCACGTGGCAATATGTTGCAAACGCTATTATTAATAATAGTAACTGTTATAATATTCTTATTCCATATACACATATCAACGGGACACCGACGCACGCATGTACAATGACGTCTGGGTCACCCGTGCCCACAGCTCGTGCAACTGTGTCACAGATTCCTTCGACATGCCGCCACTCGTCATGGGCACGGTGTCTTCATCGATCGTCGCGATTGGCGAAGTGTGGCGTCGCCGTCCGCGGTTGGACGGGTGGACTTGGTTGAGCTCGGCACATCTTCGTTCGATGTACATGCCCACACCGGTCGCGAGGGTTTGCAGCGCTTTAAGTTGGGCGGCGGACGGCGCCTCCTGGAGCGGCTCATGGCATGCGACATCGATCGTGCCAATGCATTCCTTGTGCAGGGACGACGACACCATCACTGGCACCGACACGTACGCGCCCGCGCGGTGCTCCACGGCGAGGGGATGCGCGCGGAGGCGGGGGTCGTTCGACGTGTCCAGCACCACCATGGGGATGGGCTGGAGGAGGCCGTATGTGCACGCTGCCTCTTCGCGGACAGTCGTGTTGGTCATCTTGAACACACGGCTGTAGCCAGTGCATGCGATGTTGTACACGACGTCTTCGGCGACGAGGTGGAGGGACCCAATGGGGGCGTTGTCGAGCACGCGCATGGCATCTGCGACGTGGTTGGCCAGGACGGGGTCGTGGAGGAGCGTGGGGAGGTGGGTGTCAATATCGAGGCGCCGGACGCAGTCGAGTCGCGAGCCCTCGTTGGGCGGACGGGGGGCCTTGGGAAACGGGTGGACCCAGTCAAAGTCAAGGTCAAGCGAGTCAGTCGGCCGACTACTCAATTTGGTCGAGTACTGCACCAAGTCGTCGGTGTACTTGGCCGACACGCGGAGGCCGCCGTCTTCGAGGAATGAATCGACGCTGGAGGTTTCACTGGGGTAGCGGCTGCCGCGGAGAGTGTCTGTGTAACAGTAGACCGAGTGATCTTCCGAATCCTGAGTTGTCCGAGGGGTTAACGGCGTCAGTTGCCCCTTGTTGTTGGGATGGTGGTTGTCGTGGGGTTGTGGAACTGGCAAGCAGGCTGTAGACTCCTCAGCCAAGTCCAGCATGGGCACGGTGGTGGCAATAAGGAGATCGCCGCTGCAGTGGAGATCGTTCTGGGATCGAGTCTGGGCATCAAGCACGCACTTCCAGCACACGCGCTTGATCCACGTGGCCTTGATGGTGCAGTCGCGGCAAACCACTCTGTTGCAGGTCGTGCACTTGTACTTCCAGTGGAACGCGTTGAAGCGGCGCATGCAGCTCGCACAGGCTTTGGCGAGTCGGCGCTTTTTGCTCTCCGACCGGCCTCGCGTCATGACGACAGATTCGAAATGACCGACATGAGTGTCGTCCAAAATTTTTCGAGGCAAACTGGATCGTTCGTGTACCCATTCTACTGTGAGTGTTCAGCATTTATAATTGCCTTATTTTAGCCAATCACAGGACAAAAATGACCTTGTCGAGTTCTTTAGAAAGTTCGATGGTGCTCCCAGAGGAAATGGAGTGGTTACAGTAGTCGAGAACTCCGAAGGCAGTTTGACGACTGCGTACGCGATCGACGCGACACCTTGGTACAATCAAGGGGCACACATCGCGTAACTAACTGCTACGTATTATCGTCAGTATATATATGTCACTGGAGAAAACCAGCGAAAACCGGAAAGTATGGCGGATACAGTTTCGAGCAATGCTAGCACTGTAAGAATCCTAGCCAAACATCCAGCAGCAATGTTCCCCACTGTATTTTTCGACGCAACCATATGATGAAGTTGATGCAGCACGGAACTGGTGTGCAGTCACTTGTGTGCCTATTCCGTTCAAACTTGGCATTTCCTGCTTGTCATCCACATGAGCTCACTCACACCCAGCACACCTACATTGACGTGCTACTTTTGGATTTCGCGGGACCTTTATCCCCATAGACTGTCGATATATGCACGAGTTTGGTGCCCATGGTTCTAAATTAAAGTAGTGCGACTTTCACCAACGAGCGTTAGACAGTAAAAGGTCCAAGGCTACTTCGAAGTACAGTATGAAGGAGGTGGCTGGCATACATGCAGAAATGCAGAACGTGGGATGGACGACGACTCTGCCGTGGAACGACTTGAATCACTTGAATCCGGACATGTCTTTTCAAGGTTTGATACTTCACGGTAGGATGAACCTGCCTTCATGCAGGCGCCTTAATGAACTCGTACATGTATCGGTGTAGCAGGAGGCTACGGGAAATGATCAACTTTACGATCCTCAAACGATATGGCAGTACGTTGTTCATCATCACCATACAACACCCTAGAATCAAATTGAGTTCAGCCTGACGAAGAAAGCAACGTGCACTGCTTTTAATTGCCATTTTGAAGGATTGGCATCGTCCTCAATCAGAATGCGCAGAGTTGCTTGACTCCACACACAAAACGGTTGCATAACTTTTAAAAATATGACATTTAAATGTAAGAAAATTATAACATAACATATCAATGTATAGCTCAAGATGACAATAATTTTTTGTCATCTTTCACGCTATATTTGACGTTTTCGCCAAAATGCGTCTTTAACTTGCTGCTTCGTGGCTCAGAGATCACCGATCAACGCAAGAACATGGTAGCATGTACAACAGCATTGATACTACGTAATAAAGCGGCATGGACGGTGTTATGATGCTTATTACGGGATATAATCACACCCAAAGTAAGCTATATTTCAGTTTTTTGGCATGTTTGAGGTCACTTCACGCATGCTAAATAAGTGCAATTACCACACATCACGTCTCGTTATATAGCCCGCAGCCATGTCTTCAGTTTTCATATTAAATATATCACGCCCAGACAAGCCATTGCTGAGCAATTCAACGACAAAGTCATGTACTTTCTCGATAGTTAACATTGTCATAATGATTGATGTTAACTTGTAAACTTGATGCTATACTTCGATGTTATCTTTTTGAATTATGACATACTTATTTAATATTAAAAACACGTAACGGTATCTCGTGGAATGTAGTGGATACTTTTCCAAAAAGCATCGTAACTGGCGGCCAAAATTTGAAGTCCATACTACGAAGTATACGTTTTGAACAGCGGAATCGAATACAAAGTTGCCTTGCACCAAAACTAGACTCCTTCGTCTAGACATACGTTTATCCTTGCTGATGTCGCCGGGGATGGCTATGTTCGTCATTTCCCGCAGCCTCCAGAGTCTGGCCGCCTACGTCAACGTTGCTAGTACGGCATAAAAGCAAAAGAGGTCATGGGTGTGCGAAAGTGCAACGTCATCACGTTCTCATCATATCATCCCCTAAACCACAAATCATGCCACTCTAACGTCAACATGCACGTGTATTATTATCACTATAAATAATACTCCTGGTTCTAAAGGTCATACTCTTCTGCTGGTGGCGGCATGCCTTGGTCGTTATGCAAGTCAAACTCCACCTCGGACGGTATGTCGACTTCGTACTCCGAGGCGTCTTGTTCCGAGCCTTCCTCGTCCACGCGATGGAATGCCGCCGACGTGCGGGGGTCGCTGGCGTCCGAGTGGGACTCGGGTGATGTCGTGGGCACCAACGGGGCAATGAACGAATGGTCCACAGAGGCGCTGTCGATGCTAACTTCAGACACCAGCTTGCGCGGCGGCGGCGGCTGTGGCTTGGATTGCATGCCGTGATTTCGGCTGTACGGATAGTTGGCTGGCATACTGCGTCGTCCACTAGATCGAACGGTCGGGATAGACAGCTGACGGACGAAGGATGGGGTCGCGGTAGGACGGGGCACCACATCCACCGATGGACGAGGGGGCTCCGTCGGCATGTTGGGGAGACTGGCGCGGGTGGTTGCAATAGGCGCGGCCTGGACGGGAGACGGATCCAGGTCAAGCGGCTGAAGCATGCGACTGATCGAGATGGCCAATGCTTGGCATTCGGCAGGGCGACGGACGTTGCTCATGTCTGCCGAGCCATCGACGTACCCCATGACAACGGCGAGCATGCCGAGCTCTCGCACCACGTGCAGCGCGTCAAAGGCTTGCTGCGGCTTGGGTTTCCCCAAATGCGTCTACAAAGAGTTTATATTCACACATATACGACTGGAGTACGACGTACCTCCAGAATCGTGCGAATGATGTCCAGCACAAGGATAGGGTCCTGGTGCTTCCGAACGAGAGGCATCAACAGCGCTTGAAGGCCCGCCGCCGTGTCAAATGTGTGGTTGGTGGCAAACACTTGCATGAGTCGAAGTACGCACGTTTGGGGGAATCCAATCGCGCGCTCGGTTTGACATTGCTCTAGCACATGCATGAGGTCGGTGCACAGCGTCGTGTCGTCCTCTACAGTTGCTTTCACGTCCACGTATTCCTACAAGTCGAACGATATTGGTTATGTACAGAGATAGAGTAGTGTATCCGTACCCGATAGATAAACACAAGGGCGTTGGTGAGTTTATTGACGAGCCCAGCATTGTCGACGCCTCGTTCGACCAGCTCTGGCAGACTGAAGGGGGGACTCATCATGGACTGCGAGGCCAGAGGAATGAGGTTGGCTAGTTCTTGCTGCCACACGGCCACCAGTTGCGACGCAATGTGAAATGGATGGCGGAGAGACGTCGCCTCGGGGTTTTGCAGAAACAAATCCAAATAGAAATCGCCCACAACCACACCGTGGTCCAGGTGCGTGTAGTCCATCTGATCATCTGGGAACGATGGGTTCGGTTGGGATACCAGGTATTCCACATGACTGCGCAAGTCCCCTCGAGTGTGGTCGTTCCAAATCAGCTCAGCGTCGAACGCCGATTCCTATCGTCAATTGAGTACCCGTGGCATATATATATATATCCTTCCTCTAGCATATATATTAATCACCCCTGCACACGTTCGTTTTGTTGGGGACATGTACATATATATACCTCAAACTCGTCGTCAAACTCGTCGGGATCGTCCACCAACGTTTGCATCAACGCATACGGCAACAGCAACTTGAGTCGCTCCAGAGCAAGTTGCTGCACATCGTCGTCGTCACTGCCGTGCAGCAACGCATACCACACCTACAGTACAACCCCCCCCCACTCTCAGCTTCATGTCATGACGGAGCGGCTAACTACTATACCGCAGCGGCCGGCCGTCGTAGCGTGTCGGCGGCCATGTGCTGATCTTCAGTCACATAGTGCTTGGCTTGGATCATCATGGCAAACAACGTGATCCACACAGTCGACGTCAACACGTGCTTGGCAATATCCGGACTCGCCTCGCACAGTTCCTGGAGGCACGCGAGGGGGGCGTCGGTTTCCCCGGCCTGCAACTCCGCCATGGCCAACATGTCTTGGCAGAACGGACTCAGCGGCGCCAGCACCGTCGCGTCGTCGCAGTGCCTCGCCAACGCCCGCATGCACGTGGTGGCGGCATCGCGGCGCTGGACGGCATCCACATCGAACCCGCCATTGTTGGACTTGGGCACCCCCATGGTCATAAACAAGCCCAGTGCATGGAGCAGCGGTGGTTCTGAAAACGACGACAAGCAACTGCGCTCGACGTCGGGGGCGCTCGTTTCCGTGAGCAGCGCAAAGCACTCGAGTGCCAGCAGCGTTTCGTCGTATCGAGGTCGACCGGGAATCGCGTGGTCGTACAGAAACACAAGCAGCTGCTCGCAAAAGTCGGCGGCGACCGCCGGTGGCAGGGCCCGGTCAGGGCCTTGCTTGTACACCCGGAGGAAGATACCGCCAACCATGGGCTCCCCATCCAATGCGTCAAATGAAAACTGGCGCGCCACGTCATAAAATGACTGCGGGGGGACTTGGAATTCCAGCAACGTGTCTAGATACGCTTGGACTTCGCAGCGCATGTCGTCAAACCAGATAAACTGCGGCACGTACAGGTCTTGAAACACAATCGATACAATCTCATCGACGGGTGATTTGGCCGCCATGAACGTCGGCGTCCACATGGGCACAAGTGCCGTGAGCGCGTTTTGGACGTCCGGGCGCGGCGCCGCGTCCATTCCTTCAAACCCCGCCAGCACACGCACGCAGCGCAGCGCCGCACACACGAGTTGGTGCTTGGACGGGTGTGTGCCGTGCACAATCACGAGCTGCAGCGCATGCCAGAACGCCATGGTCGAGGTTAGAATCGTCGATTGTGCCGCTTCTTGACGACCCATGAGGCTGAGAATGTCCAGCGCGAGGATGATCATGTTGATGTTGACGTCGTTCACATTTTGGTGGATCAGATCGCTCACAATCGAAAGCACGGGTCGAATAGACGGTTTCTTCATCGGATGCTGGTGTTCAAAGGCCAATTCATCGCGGCCGACGTCCGTGTTGGCCACGGCCAAGAGCACGCGGACACTCAACCCCCCAATATAATCAAACGTAGAGTCGCCCTCCGATACCCATCCCGTTTGAGATTGGCGGCACAAGTCGGTGATTTCAATGATCGTGTGCAGGCCTTGCGCGCTAGATATATATGAAACAAGCATTTTTTAGACACTTTCTTGTATTTCAAGTATCATACGCACCGAAGCATTTGCTCGACGTTCCAAGGCGACGAAATCATGGTCGCCAATAGCAACTCCATCGACAACGACAGCAACTCCATCGCGTGGATGTCGTGCTCGAGAGAATACGCAGGATCGTCCATGTCCACTCGAAAGTCAAACTGACCCAATAGCTTGAGCAGCAAATCTAAACAAACAGTACACGCAATCGTGGTTTAGACTTGTTCAAATATATACATGTATTCAAATATATACATGTATTCAAATATATACATGTACTGAAGTATTCAAATATATACATGTACATATATATATATATATACATACCGTACGCGTCGTACGGAATCGACTGGAACGCCGACGGAAATGTGTCGTAAAAGAGCAACTGCGTGCGCAGCAGCAGTGACAGTGTTTTGTGGGGCAGTTTGTCCAGTTCACATGTGCTGTCGGACACGCAAGAGAGCACAATGAACGCTTCGTTGAGATGGGAAATGTCCACAGATTCCCCCAAGCACACGGCGCGGTACCGCGAGCGAAGGAACGCGCCGTCGTTGGTTTGCTCATGTATCACTTCCGACGGATCGATTTGCAACAGGTGACGCGCCGTGCTTTTGGCCATACGTCCTACACATTTACACACACACAATAGCAACAAACCATTTGCTTTTTTTTATCCGTGGTAGAGGGAATATATATATATATATATATTACCTTCTGCCACTGCAATCTCGTGGCGCCACGTGGTATGGACCGCCCGCATAAACGCCAGAGGGTCTTCGATTTCATCAATCACTCGACCGACCGCACCACTCGATCGAAGGTCCATCATATCTTGTTCTATCACGGTGGCGGTGTCGTCGTCTTCGCCTTCTTCGTAGCATTCATCGTTCTCTGGATGCATCGAGGCACGGAAGATCTCTGTCGTGGGATCCTGGCGTCCTTCGCCTCCTTCGTCGTCTGCAAATAGACGGGACAAGTGCATGTTGTACACGTAAATGTCATCTTGCAGTTGGGTGTATATGACTGGCGGCATGGGTGAATACTCAAACCTGACGGAATATATACATGATATATCATTCATCACATGTCGACACTCTAATTAGAGTCGATTCAACGACTCGTTGTGACGTACACGGCGGTGCTGTCTTGATGCAACCGACACACAAACGGCGCTAAATGCTCTTGCAGCATGTCGTAGAGGTGGTCGCGCATGGCGGGGGTCCACAGCACTCGGTGATCCCACTTCCGAAACGTAAACACGTCCGTAAAGCTGCGCGCACCGTCCATGTCCAGCATGCGAACCAGCGCTTCCGGCAGCAACCCCGTCAATGCACTTGTCTGGTTGACGGCGGATGTCGAAGTCGGATGCGTGATGACTTGGCGTCGGTGGGTCAGCCCCAGCACCACCGCGTGTTCGTAAAACGACACGCGACTAGCGCTTGCAAACATAAACCAGATGGCCCCACATCGGTACAAATTCGCAGCCTACCCACGACCGGTCGTTGTGAGCCATATATATATATATATATGTATATAGTCGTTGTGAGCCAATATATTGGTTGGTTTTGACATTTAAAAACCATATATTATAGTCAGTCAATCAGAACTCCAACGCGATTCAATATTGATTACTTCGTAAATATATATATATATTTGAACTGGTCGACTGTACGTACCGTGGCAGCGTTGTGCGCCACTAAGCGATGCAAGATGGAAATTGCACATTCGACGATCGCAGTTTCTTGACACAATAATAGTTGGACCACACACGCCAACGAAAACGGATCGCTGAGGAATCGTTTGCCCTATCATTTTTCCCATGCACGAAGTAAATATATTTATATATATATAGATTTTGGATCCAAATAGTACTGTACCGCTGGCACGGGCAGCAGTTGCAACCCTGTTGACGTGCGATCAATCTCGGCTTCCACCAACGACCGTACCTACATATGAAACCATCAGTAAGAAAGATATCATCCATCGATGAGTCTAGATGAACTACAGAACGAGGCATGGCGTTGTATAGCGAAACATGTACCAAGGATATCGTGTAGATGCACACGTTGACATGAAAAGGCGACTGCACAAACAATCGCCAGCGAATACGTGGCACGCGAAGGAGGGGTCGCCATTCTCGCTCGTCCGGCAGTCGCTCGTTGTACATGGACAGCAGGATGCGCGACCAATCTGCGCCTTTCGACGTGCAAATTGCCAGCAAAATACTCTCCGGATGCGGCCCAGAGATGCTGTGCAGGTCGTGGTTGGTCATGATGTACCTAGGTGTGCGTGGTGACGACAAGGGGCGGCACACTGAAAGGACATACCAGTACACTTCGCCTTGGAACGTATCGTCGATGGTGTCGATGTTGGTTTCGCCATCGTCCAGGTCATCTTGTTTGTGAAATAAATTGAAGTACGAAAACGACTGGTGGTTGTGTTGATCGAGTTCAAGTTGCTGTAGCTGCTTGAGGCTTTTCATGGACCGCAATCTCTTGGTCGCGGCGGCGCTCATGGTTGCCTGCAGGGGCGTATGCTCGTGCACCAACGTCGACATGTCCAAGAACAGCTCCATGTTTGGCTTTGTCAACAGGGACAGCGCCGTGGCAGTGTCGGACGCCACCGTGCTCAGCCACGACAGCAGCTCTTCGATCACCGGCGCCCGGGTTTCCCCTCGAAGCATCCGAACCACATAGGCTACCTTTTCCAGCTACGACACAGCACATCATGGTCATGATTTCGAGGACCTCATAAGTAGTACACACGCTTAGTACCTCAACGCTGCCAATCCCGTACGCTTTGTACGTGGCCACCATCAATTGAAGGCACCAAATTTCGGCATTGTCGTGCTGCGAGACCACGGACGCAGAGTCCATGTCGTCGTCGCCGCCGCCGGCACCACCTTGCGGAAAAGCTGGGTTCATCGACGCCTGGTTGCTAGAGAAGGGCAGTTCCTGCAGCCACCGTTGAAAGCACTGGTCAAAAAATCGTCGGGGGTCGGCGGCAATGTCGACGATCGAGTGCGTGACCATCCCCGCCAAGTTGCTTCGACACACTAGCTCCAAATGGGCAAACGAGGACGATTTGCGCCCTGGGTCGGGGGTCCGTGCCACCAGCACGATCCCGTCGTGCACGTTGTCCATAAGAATGCGCAAATAGTACGATCCGACCTGGATCTCCTTGGCCAGACTCGCATACACAACACGGAACGACCAGTGGTTCCACGCAAACCCCATCGACGTCATGTACTGCGGCGTGATTAAATCCTCGTGATCAAGCAGCGCTTCTTCCAGTGCGTACTTGAGTTCTTTGGACGTGGTGGGGTTCCAGATCAAATCGGGCAGCGCGAACGTGTGCAAGAGCAAATGACACAAGAAATGCATGTCCCGACACGATTCCGACGGGTAGTTGCGGTGGTTTTGGTGGACGTCGAGCTCCGCGGGGTATCGTTCCAGCCGACGAAACAGACGCCGACTCGTTTGATCGTCCGCCGCATCTTCGTCGACTCCTTCGTCGTCGTCGTCGTCGTCAAACTGCATCGATTGACGCGAGTACAAAGAGCCGCGCGACGTGTCCACTGCGGCTGCCGCGTGCGTGCTAAAGCCATCGCCAAACCCATCCATCATCTACACGAGATGTACAATATCAAAATAACTAGGATTTACTCACCAACGAGCCAGTCAGTCGTTCATGGGATATAGATATATTGTCAAGTCGATATATTTGGAGTGTTTGGGTGCTCAATCGAATGAGCAGCACACGGAATCGGTAGAGACTCGATATACGACCAATAAAAAAACACAACACGAATCAAGTGGCCAATCAAATCATCCACTCTTCGATCCAATGCAACAACATCGAATTAGTGTGATACTAGACGATTTTTACAAGAGTCAGTTCAAAGAATCGATAGATTTGGAAAAGAATCAAAAGTCAACCAAATGTTGGGTCAAAGGACAGTAATACCATTTTCTTTGTGGACGGATGGGACAAGATGCGTAGAAATCCACGTGGCAGCACCCGCGCCAGCCACGCAAACGACGTGCCGTGCCCAGTTGTCCAAATCGACACGATGAACTGATGCACAAAACGCTGCGCTTGGGTGTGGCCATAGATTGCCTTGTAAAAGTGGCGCAACGTAAGGCCGCTGTTCAGCGCCATGTCGCAGATGGCCGTGCGGGTCGCCACGTCGCTGTGCTCGACGACTGTCTTGAGGATCAGCACACACGCTTCGAACGTGCCGACGACGACGACAACTTGCCGGCGGTTTGGGTGATGGTTGTGCAAGATGCCAAGGAGGCGCGGAAAGATCTTGCCAAATGCGACGACGAGGTCGTGGAAGTGGCCGTGGTGGGTCGAGTCGCGCGATGTACACAGCACCGAGTCAAACAGTGTCGCAGATGCCAGCAGCGACAATGGGCGCTGCGCCGACGCGTCCACCGCCGCCACGAGATGCGCTACAAGGCGCGAGTTCATGAAAATGCGCTTCTTGTTGGCCGCTTCCGCGGCTTTTCCGGCGGGAGACCCCGTCGTGTCTTCAGACAACGCATGCGCCAACGTGATGGCCCAGAACCGCGCAGTTTCGTCGTCGGTTGTGTGCACGGCAAGCAGGATTTCCAGCAAGCTACATCCAGGCATGTCGAGTAAGTTGACGTGGGCGTGCTGGAGCCAGCAAAACGCTTGCAAGATGGCGACGATCGATCGGATGTCTTTGGTCTTGCACGCCAGCGTGAGCTACATACACGGGAACAATATATATATATGTGGGTTGGATCAAGGGATATATATATATATATGGAGAGATAGATGAATCGATGTGTACCGTATTGGACATGTCTTTGCACACTTGGGGCATCCACGCCGGATCGGTTGCAAAGTGCAGCGGCGTGTCCCGGCTCACGTTGCAGTTGGCGTTAAATTCTTCGACTGCGTCGATAAACAAATCCCGCGACTGCGCAATTTTACTCAGGTAGTACATGCCCATGCTACATACAAGCATTCATGTGTAGCGGGTCGTCAATGTGCTACTAGTACTAGCATACCCGTTTGGTCCAAAGTAAAACTCGAGCTCGGCTGGGGTTTGCAAGACACATCGAGGCAGGAGCGGCATGAAGAGCGGCGTCGGCATAATGAACATTCCAATCCCCGTACATGCGACCGCATCGCTTTGCTTTTGAGCGTGGTGGCACGCATCCAAGAGCGTCGCTATCACCACATCCCGCTCCATCGAGTCGTACCACAATGATTTGCCAGTCGCAACCACAAGTTCAAACCGAAACTCGTGGTCCTGCAGTCGGGTGATGTGCACCACCTGGTCAAACGTCCACAGACTCGCGTTCGTAACGTCGGAGTCGTCTGTTTCTACCACGCCCGCCGAGGTCAATGCTAGACGCTTGCGTTTTCTACAAAGAAAAGACCTGAGTACAATACACGCGTGGGCGAGTTTGCAGTGTACTTGACTGGCCCAGTGCCGTTGCTACCATGGTCTACGCGATCCAGGGTAAACGAAGACATCAACGTCAGCCCCAACTCGCCCACAGTTGGCTTTTTCGTACGAATCTCGTGGTTTTGATACAATCCGCCCATGTCCAACTGAATGCCGACCTGGCCCGCCAATGCTTGCCTAGAAACAAACAAATGTCGTCATCATAATAACACCGTGTCCAAGGTAGCGTACATGCGATCGAAGATCTCGCCCCGCTCGTACGAAAACACGACGCGGTGGCGGTGATGGATGGACATGATGAGGCCACACGGGTCTTCGGCCGTGAACCCGATCACCGAGTCGTCGAGCTGGCCAAAGTCGTACAGGGACATCTTGCCGCCAAAGGTAGTGACAACCAGTCCGCTTGGCACGACGTAAATGGCGCTCTTGACCTGTCCGTGCTTCTGGCTCATTTTCGACCCCTCGTACTTGACCGCGTCCAGGCCGAGGCACTCGATGGCCACGTCAAAGTCGCCTTGAAGCAGGTGCATCCACTGCTGCAGAAACCGACCGCGGTACCTGTATCGCAGGCGGAGGGCCGCCGCGTGGGGCTGGCGTCGCAGATCTTTACCGGGATGGGGGTGCGCCATGAGGAAGCTGTGATACTGTTTGATCATGCGTTCAGGGGGGTGCATGGCAAACACTCGGCTGGCACTGGATACACGGGTACTACTAGTGTTCCATTGGTGCACAGTCGTGTCGTGGGTGTTGGCAAAACTCAACACGGTTGTGTGCACCATGTGGTTCAAAATGCAAACGACTGCTTCGACGGTCGCAGGCGGCGCGAACTGGAACAGCATGCGGACGAGCATTGCATAATGCATCGATACGTGGCTGACCAGGTTGTTGACGAGAGGGTCCACCGTGGGGCCATCGTCGGCAGTTGTCAGCAGGGCTTCCAACACTTGGCACAGTTGGCCCAGTACGATCGCATTGGTCTACGAACAGAGGTTGACAAGTGTCAGACGTCGTATATGTAGATATGGAGTATATATTATGCTGGTACTGTACCGATTGAAACAAGGCCAAGAGCGCAGTGACAAAGCCGTTGTGGGATAAGAACACCTGATATATGGAATGCATACTTGTATGAGAGTTGTGGAGTATATATATATATATAGATATTTATATATATATATATATTGGAGTGTGTGAATATTTGACAACGTGTGGTGGTTGGACGTACTTTGCGGGTTCGAAGGCCGATGGGGCCACGCAACAGTCTCGACATGAAGCAAAACAATGACTGGATCGAGCTAAAGTCGTCGCGTTTGAGAATCTCTGCCATCGCATCCATGTAGTCTGAACGCTACAACCGTAAATCGTGTCGCTCGATTAATATATTTTGCCCATCCATATATATATATACATATTTTCAACCGTCCATCGTATCAAAAAATAATATCAAACACACAGGGTGTGTGTCCTACCGCCAAATGCTCGAGCGCTTGCTTGGCGCTGAACGGATTCGCCACGAGGCGGTATAAGCACTGCAAGTACGATGCTACCGTGTCCATATTGCTTTTCGGAGACTGGCGTAACAACACCATGTGCGGCACCTACAAGTACAACCTTGAAAGCCAACACAAGGAATGCAATATTACCTCGCCTAGCAACAGGCTTGTGGCTTGGGCCACGTTGTCCTTGAGCTTGGTCGACAGGCCTCCCAACGGCACGTTCGCGTTGAAGTCCAGCACCATCTCCACATGCGACATGGCGTCCACAGACTGCTGCTGCGGCTTCTTCTTCTGGCGCAGTTGGCTCAAAATTGACGGTGTTTTCGTGGTCCCGTGGCTGTCCGTGTCGTGTTTGTCTCCGCCGCCACCGACGAGGCGGTGCAGCCACGTCGCTTGGAACCACACCATGTCCGCGGGTATCGTCGACGATGCCGTCGTCATGAGCATGAACCGGAGAAACACACGCCTGCCGGCCGGCGTCCGCATTTTGTGGAGACGGACGTGAGTGCCGCGCGACGCACATGCATCCAAAATGTGCGCAATGATCGCATCTCGATGGAGCGAATAGTATGTGCGGCGTAGCTCGTTGCCAAACTCGACGGTGAATTCATCCGTTGTGTCTTCCAATCTACACTCGCAAGCAGCGCCATATTATTGCCATGTCGATTCGACATTGGCAGACAATCGATTGACCAATCAAAACCCAGAACACGAATCAAGTGGCCAATCAAATACCCTCTTGGACAATTATCAAGGCAGGCCTCGATCGATCATAGATTTGGCGAATCAGCACAAAAGTCCAAATTTGGGCCAAATTTTGGGTAAAATGACAAAAATAGATTTGGCGATTCAGCACAAAAACCCAAATATGTTGGGCCATACCGCACGATTTCGTAGAGACTTGTCAACGGCTGGACAAACATGGTGAGGCGGAAATGATCGCGCTCCACGAGGTAGGTATCGGTGAGCACCAGTGACCCCATGTCGACAACTTGATCTTCCTACAAAGAGCAGCAGCATTCATATATGCCACAATCATCCAACGACTAGGCGGCGCATACTATCTCTTGTGGAGATGCACAGCATTTGGCATCCATGACGGATAAGTACATACCTCGGACGACTCGTCGGGGAACTGCACGTCGTACGACACCAACACGGAGTCAGCGTCCAACGAGGTAAAGTGCACATGTTGGGACTGCAAAGCGGCGGCAGACTTGTCGCGGACCACGGGCACAATCACGTCGACCGCGAGGCCGGCTTCCATGATGGCTCGTGCGACATCGTTTGGGCTGGCGACGTGGAACAGATGCGACAGGCCCGCCGACCGAAGCACGAGCATTGTCGGGTCGTCCGTCGCCACGTTTACGGATTGAAGCTTGGTTAAGTCGAAATATGGAAACCTCCCGCTTGTGCCGCCTGCGATAAGGCCATATTAGAGCGCAAAAAGTACAGCAGGCCGTGACGAATGTGGACGTACCGAGCTGGTACACGGCGTCTACGCCGACTTGAAGCACGCAGTCCACAAGAGAGCAGTGCACGGTCGGTTGGTAGTCGGCGGTGTGGTCGTGGTCGGGATGGAGCTCAAACGTCTCGACGTGGCCATCGAATGAAGTGAGTTTGGCCAGGATGTGGGCGTTTTTCAGGCGCCGTTCGATGGCAAACGCCGCGCGGGCGCGGAAAAGTGCTTGTAGGACTTCGGATCGATACCGATGGCGCAGTTTTAAACTCACTTTCTTCTTCAAGCCAAACATGTTGATCGTAAACTCCTACTCACGTGCATGAGTGCCGGCCGATATGACATCGAAAGATAGCATTGGTCGTGTACCGATTTGTCCTCGAACGAAATGTCAACGGACGTAATCGCGTCGTAGGACCATTCGTTTGTGATCGCCCCTGACTTTGGATGGACCGTGGCAAACATGTACGGGCGGAACCCAAGGATGCGCTCTGTTTTGCCGCTCCACTTGACTTTGACGACGAGGAAGCGATCTGTAAAGGACATGGCATCCATGGTGATCGGTGTCGATGTTGCACTCCTTCACGAGGAGCAGGTGCACAAGGGAAGGCTTGTGCTTGCGCAAGTTGGGAAATGACCACCCATTCACCATCGGCCACGTCCTACGTAGGTGACTTGCATGCTCTCTCACATTTTTGCAGAGGAATGGCGCCGAAATTGATGCTTCAACTCGATTTTATTTCAGTATTTACTATGTAGCATACGAATACCAAGTTTCCTACGCCAAGTTTTTAATAATGTCCTCTAGGTACCTACTTATATTAATTGTTATAGCAACATGATTTTCATTGTTATAACAAATATGTTACATTATAAAGGCGTAGCGTTCCAGTAGGGTAATAACGTTACTTGTAGAATCGGGCACGTGGCCGTGGCGACATGTCAGGCATTCTTTCGAATGGAGAAGAGCTTGACATCCGCCATGCGCGATGGATGCGCCCATACAGCCGACGACTCGTCGAGAGGAATCGAAGTCAATGTAAACTCGAGTTGGAGACTGTCAAAGAACTGCTTTTCTTGCGGATGCCGGGATCGATGGCCCATGAGGATGGTGGTGTCTGGACTTGTGAGGTCGCGCAGGGACGCCACTAGGGGTTTGTATCTACAAATGACGACGCATGCATCATTCAGTCGTTATGTCGATTCCCTTGTTCCGGGGTGTTGTTTCATGTACCCGAATGGATCGTACACTACATCCGACAGGAGCACGACATCATACGGAGCGTTGAACAAGTGCTCAATGGACGTCCCCCACCACAACGGTTTGACAGATGCTTTGTCACTCAGGTCGTTTAGGCGCACGTTGTACTCCAGCAGCGGCACCACGTCGTCGATGTCGGTGAGCACGACTGACGCCACTGCCGGTAGCGACGCGCATGCAAGTCCGACGAGGCCAAGGCCACTGCCAAGCTCAATCACATGCTTTCCCGACACGACCGCGGGATGGGCTGCCAAGTACGCCGTCAAGATCAAGCTCGAATCCCACAACTTGCCGCCAATACCTATACATGACGATGAGGGGGGCATATGCATATTCGCACACATATATATATGTACTACCGAGGTTGCCAGGAGATTCCGCCAACGTAATAAATCGGTCGACACCCTCCACCCACACACTACGGCAGCATTGAATGCCCAGCGGATCGTTTTCGTACTCGAACAAGATGGTCGAGGTCGTGGGAATCGCTTGGATGGGCAACGACACGACGGGAAGCACGTCGTCCACGTGATGGCCTTTGGCCAAGTCGGCGCGAAGGGAGAAGCGCGATGCTGCTAATGTTCCGCTGGCTTGGTCGACGGAAGACGACGGGACAATGCGAAGCCGCGCCGCCGCCTTGCCGTTCACGCCGACCTCCACGGGCAACGACTTTGAGTCGATTTCCAGCGCTACATTGAGACCTGTTGACGAGAAGCCATGGATGGAGACGGTGAGCGGTACAGATGATGGCAGCAGCCCTCGCTGAAACAGTCCGAACTCGTTGGCGACGAAGAACACCACGTCGATCCAGTCGCCGACCGGCAGGTGCGACGGCAGCATGCTGCCAAAGTTGAGACGGAGCGATTGCTGGCTGTGCACGAGCTTCCCGACTTCATACCGTTCGGCTTTGGCCGCGGCGGCGTCCGACTTGCAGTTGCGCTTTAAACGGCTTTGCGTGGTCAAGGCGTACGTCAATGTGGGCGAGTCCAGCGACAACGTGAGCATGTGCCGGACGTGCTTCAGCGCGGCATCGAACTTCTCCAAGTTCTCACACGCAATCACACGACGCATGTGTGCCTTGACGTTCAACGGATCGTTCTCCACCGCGGCGTCGGCATCCTTGAACGCCAGCGCATATTCGCGCTCCTGGAGATACGTTTGCGCTCGGTTCGCAAGGATGCGACTCATGACAAGTGGTGATGCTTCTGCTGCGTCATCCAATTCACGGATCGCGGCAGAATACTCACGTCGCGCGTCGACATACCGACCCTCCTTGTACAACTCATTGCCATTGGCAATCCTCTGTTCGGTCAACTCCATGGATGACAAATATCAAAAATGCAAAACGCGATGAAAATGTCGTGTCAATTTGTTTTATATTGACACAAACATAGCGATAATATCTTGCTTTTTTTATTATTTACTCAGAAATAAATAGCAAATTTGCTGAAATATTATTTGTTCGCAATCTTATTGTAGCACATTTGACTAGCACTGCTTCCGAAAGCCGTCGGTGGTCTCTGGCAACAAATGACCAAGACGCCAGGCTATGTCGTGGATGACAAGTTCCCTGATGTGATCGAGTACCTTGATAAAGCAGGATGGACTGCATGTCCGCACCACACATACCCGAACTGCATGCTTCGGTACACAAACTACGTGAAAATCCAGTGGAGCTACGTCAAGCCGCACCAGGTGATTAACCATCTCCAACACGCAATTCTCCTCAGCAAGAAGCACGAACTCCTGCGCCACCTCGAGATCCGACAGGGGGTCTATGAGTTCCTTCCGCGAAGCACCACGACCGTGGATGCCTGGTTCCCCATGTTCGTGTATGCTCAAGCGCTTCTCGTTCTCAAAAACCCATCCACCTATGCGGCCAACCTTCCCGCCGCTCGCTGCATCGCCCACGAAATCCGACGCTTGAACGATCCATCGCGGCGGAAACATGGCCTCATCCTTGTACGTGTCTTCTGTCGCGGATGTACTATCATCAGTCATGCCGCCGCCTTCGTAGATGTACGAGTCCTTTGTCACCAGTCATGCGGACACGATAGCGACTCTGATATCCGCCACGCGTACTCCATTCGAACCAGTACCGCCACATGCTCCAGACGACGATGCATTGCTGACGCATTTAGAAGCATGTGATCCCCAGTTCCACTTTGTTTCGACGCGGAATCTATGGATCGCCAAACCAACGGGGCTGTCCCAAGGACGAGGTACATACACTCCTCAGAGTGCTGGTCGTTCTGACATTTTGCATATATACCCCCAGGCATCCAAATCCTGTCGACGCCCAAGCAAGTGCAAGCGTACATGGCAGACGCGCAGCTCAAAGCGGTGGTCTTGCAGCAGTACGTAGAGCGCCCCCTGCTGGTGTTGGGGCGGAAGTTTGACATTCGGCAATGGGTGCTCGTCACCGCCACGGCCCCGCTGACCATTTACTGGCATCGCCACTGTTACCTTCGGTTCTCGTCCAAGCCGTATTCTGTTACTCACGACGGCGACCTCGACGACAAGTAGCAACGAAAAACCTTCTTCATAAGTCCTTTATCAAGTGTACACTATCACGTTAGATTTATACACTTGTGCAACAATTCGATTCAAAAGACCGCTCCGAATGCAGGCAACGACCATCCGGACATTCCACAGCACATGTGGAGCCTCGACCGATTCCTCCTCCATCTAAGGTACTGTACCTACTACCTACTAGTAGTACCTATCATTTTCAAAGGTACCTATCACTTTTAAAGGTACTACTCATGTACTCGTATTGTTCGGTAGCCAAGTGGGAGGTCGTGATCGTTGGGACAGTGCCACGTTGCCAGCCATGCAACATGCCGCCATTGAAGCCATTTTGTCTGTCCAGTCCAACTTGACTCGCGTGGGGGTTAGTAAGGATCTGCGTTTAGTGATGAAGAAGGTTGAGTGAATGAATGAATGCTGGTTGGGTAGAGAGGGTTTGAGTGGCTGGGTCTGGACTTCATCTTGGACGAGCGCTTGCATCCGTGGCTGTTAGAGGTGAACGTAAGTCCAGATGTGAGCCATAGTACCTCCACCACCGCCGACCTCGTCCCGCAAGCCACCCGTGACCTCCTCGACTGTACGTACCAACAACATGATAACCTAATAAGTCACCCACATGTCGTAAGTAGTACATAGTACCGAATGATTACTTTTACGTCTACCTAATGCTACTGAATGTTGTATAAAAGTACCTAATATGCATAGTATCGAATGATACCTTTTACCTAATGAGTAGTACCGAATGATTACTTTTACGTCTACCTAATAATGCTACTGAATGTTGTATCAAAAAAGTACCTAATAGGTTTGAAATGTGACCACTGTTTGTGTTAGTGGTGTTGCCCACGGACCAAGTGACGCAGAGGGACAGTAGGACCACCCACGACAACGTGTGGACGCTGTTGTATCACCAACATGTACCCCAGAGCGGTCAATAAACGAGTATAAGAGTAATATGTATCTGTTCAATTGTAATTGAAGTACACCAACGTGTCACGCGACACCCACTGCACAACGCGCACCGCCGACGCCACGACCACCGACGACCCATTTTTCGTGGGTTCGGGCGTTCCCGTGACTTGAAGGACGTCCCCTTCGCAATGGTTTCATCATACAACGCCACGTGTCCAGAAGTCATCCTACCTAGTTGAAGGTGCTGCATCAGAGCCCGTGGCATGGAGAACGCCTGGTCCTGAGGGAGCGAACCGCGTCGCAGCAACACAAACGTCGTCGCACCGTCTTCCGCTTCCAAGTCCACAAACGACAAGTTGACGTGCAAAGTTTGCACCCGCGTCACTTTTCCAGTAGCACTGCAGACCGCGGGATCTCCAGAAGTGGCGTTAAACTGGCTGGAGAGGGCGGCGTAAACTTGGTCCATCGAAGGGGATATCGTCGCATCTCCACCGTCCGCCGAGTCGCCTTTGAGGTTTCTATGCGACAAGGGTGGAATATTTCACGGCAACTTTCGGGCCATACCGTTTGCAGTGGTAGATGAACGTGGGCGAACTGCATACTGGCGTCGTGACCACGGAAGCCCAGTTGAGTGCAGGCCTAGACGTCGTGAGTTGCCTTGTGTTTATCGAAGAATATAACAAGGAGTGGTGATGATTCTTCGATACCGGTTGAGGAACTTGCTGCTCCGAAGCATGCGACGGCTCGAGACTACAACCACCGCACCACTCTGGCCAGTGGGATGAATGTCCTCGTCAAGCCAAGACTGCCACAGCTGGCACAGACTGCCCACGAGATTGCCCGACTTTGTCTTTTCCGTGCGGTTTAATGCCAAGTGCAAACTGCCGCAATCGAGCACAACGTTGAACACCGTTGACAAACTGCCTTGTTCCACATAATCCGACTCGATCGAATGAATCGCGGTAAAGCCACGACTGGTCAAGGCCGACACGAGCCCATCGTGTCTTCCGATCACCCCCACACGACTGGACGGGTGGAAATGCCTAAAAACTTTGTTATGGTATACTTATATAGTAGTACCCAATGGATAGCAGCAGCTGGTGACGTACTCGACACAGTACGCTGCCACGTACTCCGTCGTCGACGTGGACAAGTCGACTGATTGTTGCAAAACGAGCGACAAGAAGGCTCGGGCGACGGACGTCGGGTTAGCTACTGGCGCCGAGTACGATTTAAACACACAACGCCCAAGGGCTGCCAGGCTCGGAATAAGCGCTTTGGATGGGGTACCTACCCACACTCGAATCTAGGCCAGTGTTGCATGTTACTAGGACGGAACTAGTATTATTCTAGTACGATGGTCACTCTTGGAAATGCGTTCGAATATGCATTATTATGGAGGCAAGGATAGGTTACACGGTAAGGAAGCCAACTCGACAACAAGACATCACACTTGGACCGATCTACGTACCTCTCGGTGCACGGACAGGATGCTCAAGTCGTCGTACACAATGTCTGGATGCCTACAGATACATGTAGACAGTGGATACACAATGTCTGGATGCCTACAGATACATGTAGACAGTGGATAGTACGTACACTACAGACTACTCGAGTACTACTAGTACTTACCGATCAAGATACCGTTCTTGGCGGCCATACCAGTTGCAACTATTCCAGTAGAATGAAGTCAGTGACGACATTCCTTCTGCGATACGGGGAAATTTGTGTACCAAGGCAGTGTCAACACAGCCACCACTTCGGTGGCATCGATGGCAACCATGGCTTGCTCGATGGTCACGTGCGCATGCACTAGCACCACGATAGCCTTACGCAAGCGAATGCGAATCTAATGAAAACGGTGTCACAGAAATGGAGCAGGATAGCCGACGCACGTTTTCAATCTTGTCGCAAACAGACACAACGTTGGCCAGCGCTCCTCCGTCCCAAGGCACTTGTGCATCGCTCTACAATATGCAATATGCAAGTTAGAATTTGCATTGAGGTTGATGCGAGGTTATACCGTGGACACTTTCATGATGGGATCGACGCTATAACATGTCCACCCCTTGGTTCGGTAGGCAAACATGGCCGCCGTGCGAGCTATACACGAATGGGTTAGCCATCATTCGGAGCATCAGTGGAGCCCACGAACGTGTGACGCCGTCGCCCACAATCACAATGCCATCGTGAACTCCAGGTGGCGCGGTGTCCTTCTCGTGGAGACCCAGCTTACGAACGGCATTGAATACTCCCATCGTCTAAACATGCATTAAGCAGCAGAATGGGTCATGGACATGGGATACCTCCGACACTTCCTTGGCGTCGGGGAAGAGCCCCCACGCCAGCATTTGCGCCGAGCAAGTCAAGTCCCCGACAAACTCATCCAAGTAGCGCAAGGACAGCTTGTCTTGGTCACTGCTGCCCGTGCCGTCGGGACGATGCCAATTCGACTTGGAGATCCAACTGTCATCGTCCAGCGAGGATGCCTCGCTCATGCTAGTAGTACAGTCCGCGACATTCATTTAAAACATTTCGTTTTTTACGGATAACTTCGCCAAAAATGCTCGGATTAAGCTCAAATTAGCACCAAAATATCGGCCTTGATTGGCCCGATCTAATGGCGCCTCTATCAGGCCAAAAGGACGAAATTTGACCGAGTAATCGCGGGAAAACTGATTTTGGGGTGCGACAGTCACTTATGAACACAACATTGAACTCGTCAAAAATGTACCAAGATTCAATTGTTAGACAACATAAAGAACGCTAGTACTTCGTCTTTCCACCTTTGGCAGCAACCACTTGCAAACATCGCTTTGGCATGGATTTAATCAACTTTTTCAAGTATCGGCGGTCAATAGAGTCCCAGGCAGCAGAAATCGCGCTTTGAAGCTCGGAAACGCTTTGGTACTGCTTTCCATTGGGGTAGACCTTGCGCGCCAGCCACCCCCAAACGTTTTCGATGGAGAACCTGCCAAGCTGGTCAATGTCATCCGGATAAGGTCGTCCGGTAAATGTTAACCACGGAACAAAACGAAAGAATGATGATGAAGGCAGCCTTGAACCCTTCGTTGACGAGCCACAGGGTTTTGCGTGGCTATCATCAACGCTGTACTGTCGTTATATACCCACCAGACTATTTTCTGGCACGCCATAGCGGTAGAACCTTTGACTGTGAACGAAACCATGCACGGGTGTGTTTGATTGGTCAATTTTGGATCTTGAACGGTCGCGACCGTTGACCCCCAAACTCCAATTGCGATTAACCATGAGCAGCGGCGGTAGCACTGGCAGCTACAACAACAATGCGCATTTACTGGCTAGCAACAACCAACGCCGTCGGTACCCTGTCGTGGACTTGAATGACGAAACTAGTTTTCGGTACTTGACGATCATGGAAGGGCTGCTTGCCGACGCGTTGGCGTCCGACCTCCGCA